GCGCTCTTGGCGACAACGTCGCACTTAGACAGGTATATAGACACTTAACTTAAGCGCTAATAATAAAATACTATACTTCGATAGCTTTTATGTAGGTATATGGGCTAAAGTAACAATTTTGCTATTTTTACGTTTTGATGTTAAATGCTTTCTTTAACTATATTTCATGCATCAAAAAGTTAATAATTTTAAATTTTTTGTTGCAGTTAAAGGTCTCATGTAGCATAATTTTAATGTACATGGTAAAATAATTAATTAGGACCTTTTATACTAATTAGTTAGAAATAATAAACCTTTTTTTAACGTGTGGAAACCCCGGGGTTTGCGGCGGGACAGTGTGTGGGAATCGAACCGACTAAAGGGGTCCGGAAACAGCTGATATTATAACATCCGGACCCCTCCCAGCGTCTGCTTACAATATCGCGGGCAACACCATTGGGTCAACTTTCTATTTAGGCGACGTCCGGCACACGCAGACGTCACCCCCTCGCGACTGGCCACTATAGCGGATGAAGGAGAAAACCCGTCTCGCTCAGGGAAGCATGAGGCGCTGGTAAGCGCGCCTGCGCTGCCCAGTTCGCCGACGGTGAATTGGGTCCAAGTGGAGGTCGTCCTCCCGGGCCCTCTCCGCCGCCCTCTTCTGCTAGAATGATGCGACCGCGGTAAAATATGTGTCACTATCGGCCATGGAGCGTATGATGGCCGGTAGCGAGAGATCCCCTCCAATGACTGCAATGTGGACCCGACACTGCGACGCCTAGGCAGAAAAAATTGCCAGCGTATGCTGAGCCGAGTCCTCACTGCAATCGCAGTGGTGACAGGCGAGACTCAATTGCCTCCTAGCGACCGAGTGTAGGTACTTCTCGAAGCAGCCGTGTCAACCGGAAGAAAATGGGTGCCGTGCTGCCGCCCTGCCCACTTGACGATCACTGGCTGGAGCCGATGATGACCGGCTGGACAGGAATAATATACCTACACTAGCTAACCCGCGCGAATTCGTTTGCGTTTTTCAAAAGGAATACATTTTCCTATCGCTCCGTAAAGTTATATAGGCCATAGCCTTCCTCAATAAAAGGGCAACACTAAGGATTTTTTCAATTCGAACCAGTAGTTCCTGAGATGAGCTTTGAACCAAACAAACAAACTCTTTAGTTATATAATATTTGTATTTCAGATTATTAATATGTGTAGATGGTCAGTCAAAACTTTTTTTTTTTCTTTGTTTTGACAACAGAGGAAAAAATTGCGTCCAACTGTTGGCCTCTAAATGTTTCTCCTGCGTTTAGTATGAAAAGTACATACTGTCACTCACTACGCACACGTTGCTTTCATATTTTGTGTCGTTTATTAAGACGATTTGTGGGCTAAATGTGTGTATAGGTAAATTTTAAAGAACAATCTCAATAAATTTAAAAAGTTACCTAACATCGGTAAGTACCATTGTTTCGTTGCTGTTTCAGCCACTGAAGCCATTTTTTTATTTCTAAAGTAAATTATTATTGTGTTCGCCATTTTGTACGTGTTAAAGTAAATATTTTTGAGTCATTTTTGGCAGGAGTATAATTCATGGATTCACGTTAACTGCGATGGCCAGTGCAAAGGTCTCGGGTTCGATTCTCGGATCGGACAAAATGTACTACTGCAAATATTTGTTTCGGATTTTGTGTGATTTCTTCATATAATATGTACGAGTTTGCAAAAAATATATATAATATAATAGTTAATTTAGTCAATCTAGCTTTCATAGTACAAGCGTTACTTAGTTTCAGGCCAAATGGTGATGTTAGTGGAAAAAAAAACTAATATCACGTGTTAACCAAGACGTTCAGGTACATTTAAATACTTTGAACCCATGTTTATTTGTTGTTTTTTTTAATGTATTTTTCTAGATTAAAGATATATTCAAAACTGTTTTAGTTTTCCCCTATTTAAAGAAAATTTTCTACAACTGGCATCGTTTATGCACGCACACTAGGATAGCAGAATGATGTGACAAGGGTGTCGGACGAAGCTGTCACGCACACTAATATTGAAAACTCGACTCATTTCTTTTGCAGCGCGATGTTCTATCCAGACATATTAATGATCTAAGATTAGTACATATAGTTTGATAGGCACGTTTCGTATTTCGATTCTTGAATAAACTCGTTTGTTCTGAGGGAAGAGTATGAACACGCATTGTCGTGGTGCAGCATAATTCCAAGGAGACCGGTCTTTGGTCATCTCGCCTGCATAGTCTTGAAAACTTTTGACAATGCCACTGTAATGTACCAGAGTTAACAGACTTACAATTCTCTAGGATTAATGTTGCAAGATATCTCCTTAAAAAAAAACTACACACCATTTTTTGCCAATGTTCCGCGGTCTTTGCAATTTTGTTGGCAACTGGCCATCTGGAAACACCCATACAGAGGAACGCTTCTTGCTTTCCGGATTATATTGATATATCCATGTTTCGTCGCCAGTAATGATTTCAGACGTCTTGACCTCCCATTTTCACAACCTAGACGCATCTCACGACACCATTCCACACGATCTTCTTTTTCCGTTTCGGAGAGCAAAGAGGTATCTAAAGACAACAAAGCTTCCTTATTCTAAGATTTCGTGTAATATGGTGTGAACACCAACCGAACTGATGCCTAAGATTTTGTCCCTGATGATTGATGTCCCTGTATGTAGTCCGTGAGTCATCTCGCACAAGCATCTCAGTAGACCACACATTTTGTAGGCGTTGTTTAAAGTTTAAAGGCATGTTTAAAGTTGTTAAAAGTGACGAAATTCCGAAAATTTTAAGAAAAATTCAAATAAAAAAAAAAACCTAGGGGCTTAGGTGAAATCCTTGGTGTTGAGTAGGACATAGACGACCTCACCTACCCCCCTCCTTGATTTTAATAACAAATAGACTGTTAACACCATTTATTTACACGTAACAACTAGCCCTGGCTTACCATTGTACAGATTCTGCCTAGTTTGGGATCAGGACGGCCGTGTGAGAGATCTGTGCGGTTATTATTATTATAATTCCTTCATCATCATCAACAACAGCCATTAATAGCCCACTGCTGGACACAGGCCTCTCCTTAGAAAAAGGTTTTGGCCTACTATACCACGCTGGTCAGACGGGTTGGTACAGGGTTTGTTTCAAGTTTTCCTTCTCTTTGCAGTGCTGTTGTCCTCCGTAGTTTGCTCCCTTAGTCGACTGTTATGACACCCACGGTATGAACAAATACCCTTGTTCGTATTAAATACGCTCAATATTCTTAATCCGTCACGACGCGGATATTATCATTCCTACTCACTTTCAACTCTATGCAAATTATTCTAACTTTAATGTCTATTTTGACTGGAATCTGTACATACTTAATCCCTCTATGACTTACCAGTCTAAAAAGGAAGTTAATTCCTAAAAACTCTAATACTAAACTCCACTCCTAATACTCTAAATCTATGATAACTGAGAACTTATATGTACCTACGTGTCAGCATTACAGTCTAATAAAGTCTAATTTGTATAATATTTTCACCTATTTATTATAAGTTGACCCGCTTTAAGATACAAACGATGTGTGCATGTCTCCAACATGTTCCATACCAAACGATCAAGGTCTTTTGTATTAAACAGATCCAGTATAATAAAAATTAATTGACGATATGGTACCAAGCGTGTCATTCAGTAGGTACCGTTTACGTACTGATTGTTTGAATGGTTCGTTTGCATAATAATTATATATCTGGGTCTCTGTCTCTATAGGTTAGAAAAAAATCTTATTTTTAACCTTTATAAAAAAAATATTTTTAAAATAAATGGCTTATACTACTAGTTTATGAAATTTGTGAGATCGAATTTTGAACGAAATTTTATTACGAGAATTTGCCCTCTGATCACCGCACCCTCTGCAGTCCCTGCGCTCTCGTGTTTTAAGGCACTGATATACATTTTTAACTATTTATAATGCAGCGATTAGAATAAAATAAACCTTCATAAATCTCGTATCTAGAGATTTGACATTGTCAGATTGCATTGTATCATGAAAATATATTAATTTTTGTATTGTCCTCGACGATATATATCGACAGATTCTTCGATATGATAAGAGCAACACCGATAATAATTATTACATAAAGAACAAGATGTCCAAACGTCTATCAGTCTATAATCTGTAGAAAAGCACTTCAAATACCTTGTGCCTGAAATCGAAACACGAAATCTGCCGTGCATAGACTATAATACCGTTAACCCTCATCAGGTCGATATTTAGTTTTTAGTTCCACCTTAATCAGAAAAAAAAGGTCTATCGATCTGTATTTACGGTTTACTTTTATCTATTTTTGCTCTCGAGATAAAGATACTTAGTTAAAATGCCGTTATAACATTTTTTTTTATATGTGTGCAACTCAAAAACGCAGTTAACTATATTTCATAACCCAAAAAGCGGTTAAGAGCCCTTAGTTTTTTTGTAGTTGTAATTTTTATGTGTTACATAACTAAATTGTTATTAACTGATTTTTGTACTCGGTAGTGTCGTTAAAACACTTATTTTTTTGTAGATTAGCATTCTGTTATTAAGAATGTAGCTACTCCAACGCTATAAAGCCGTTGAATAAAAAAACTACACAAATGCGGTTAAAATCAAAATAAAATTTTGATGAAAACAGATTGAAACACAGAAACCTGTAACAGCGCGATTGTCATCAAAACGTAAAAGATATCCCACTTCTTTACGCCAACGGAGTGAGGGATATACACCATCAGTATGAACCTAGATTGTAAACTTTGATTTTCCTTGGAACGCAAAAAAAACATAAGTAATTATAATATAAGGCAATTATCTGGCATGTCTTGACTAAAAAACATGCAATTGTTCATCATTTAAACAAAGATAATTGCCTTTTTTTTTAAATTTTATTCGTTACTGTTTTTAGCAAAAACAAAAGAATTACTACACTTACAATACTTTTATTTGATGCAATATCTTTGCAATATAGACTTAAAAGTTAGCTTACAGAGATCTTTGTACTTTACGAACATGCTGACTTTTAGATTCTTTTAATGCTTGTTCCAGTTTATTAGTTAAGTGTTGTAAGTTTGGTAAATCACACTGCAATAAAACGTGACTAACAATATTCTGACAATGACTAGCAGCTTTCGCTTCTTGAATACTAGAATCTATATAAATTTCAGACATATTTCTGGCATCTTTCGTTTTACTTAAACCAATTTTGTTACTAGTTTCAATATGTTGTCCATAGTTTTTTGCTTCCATGATCATAAAATCCATTGCTATTACTGGTTTCACATCAATGTCGTGATTTCGTGAGGCTACCTGTAACGAATAAAACTTTTGAGAAAAATCACTAGATGTTTATATAATTCTGATACCGTCATTTAGATATATCTTTGCAGACTACAAATCAAAACAAATTAAACCGTTATAGGTCTAATTAAGCTGGAAAGAGATGTGTTGAATATGCTTAGAGTTACAACGTAATTCATCATTGGTATTTTTTTAATGCAGCAATATACAGACGAACCTGACTATAAGCAATACTTACGTACGAGTTGGTTTGATCAGGTTCTTTCGAATGCTTTCAAGTAATGCAATATAATTCAAGGGTGTAAAACGGTGGTTATCAAATGGCAAATCAAAGCTTTTTATTATCAATTGGTAACCATAGCGTGGAAAAATAAAATTACCGAGAATGAATTAAAAGTTGCGTTAAGAACATTGTTTACATTTATTTTTAAATGATTTTGCTCAATTTATCAGTCACAATTGCCAAACTTTTAAGTAATTGTATTATTTGTTTGACGATATGTAAATTTAATAATTAATTTAATAAAGTTTTGAATTCATGTTCAGTATCTTTTTATGATTTTTTATGTTTCTATCATTATATCTTTCTATCATTTTATTGCAACTGTGTTATTGTAGCGGTGCTGCATTTTTTTCATTACCGTTTAAATTCAGCAGAAACGGCCTGTGGGAAATGAGTTCAAAATCAACTGATTCTGATTCGAAGTCATGGACACGGAATGATAACATGATTTGGGTAACAACAAATGGGAACAGTAGCCCTTTTGGGGCTGCGCGGAAGAAAGCTCTAAAAAATTACCTAGAAGATGGACGAAGTCAAAGTCCCTGCTTCGCAAACAGCAGACGTGAACTGGCATAGATTTCTTTTCATACATACATATGATTACCCCAGTATTACCGATTAGTTAAGCAGAGGTTGTCTATACCTGGGAGATTAAGCACTCTAGAAGACAGGGCTCAATCACTGGGTCGAAGAAGTCAGTGGAAAGTATTCGTCGTCTTCATTTTCGAAGCGAAATAAAATGTTAAATATTCGATACATACATCTGCTCCAGACGAAGAACCAAAAATTTATTTTAAAGGATAAGCATCAATTTGCAATTGCTGCCGAAGTCTCAATAGGAGGCAGGAATATTTCCGGCAAGTACTCGAAATGTGTGAAATATTGTCAAATAACCAGAATATTTAATAGTTTATTACATATTTTATATTTGTATTTTAGATTATATTGCATAATCTTGTGAATGTGTCAAAACTAATTGATTAATGTAGGTACTAAATGTGCATTGTTTTGGTATTTATGTAGAAAACAAGCATTTTATTACTGGATTTGTTCATAAGTGATCAATGTTTCAGTTTATTTTAATGTTTCAGAGAAATATTAATTGTGTTCATTACCCTGTGGTTCCTAAAAGCTAAAAATAGAAAAAAAATGGGTGTCTTTTTTTATTTTCAGAGGATTTAAAAAAAAGGTATCATGGATAACCTGTGTTACCAAGTTCTCGACAAAACTCTTTTATTCTAAACAGATAATATGTAAATAACAAAAACTTTTAAGACAAAATAATTAGCTTATTATAAAGTAGAGAAATCTTCGCTCAGTTAATAAACAGCTCCCACAACTTCGACTTCGTGAACTCTTCGTTCTATGTTTAAGCAGTACTACCCTTTTTTTTTCCGTGCGGAAATCCCCTCGGATACCACCTGTCGGTGGCATGTCGTACTCGAACCGACTAAAACCGCACGCCGTCTCGTTTACTAATAGCCGGGGAACCAGGTATACCCTAGAAAGGAAGTCCCTGGTGCCCCGACATACCTCGGGTCATCTACAGACGAGTAGACGACCCCGCCCCGTGTGGGAACCCTATGTTCCCTGTGCTCCCTGGAAGCGAGCGCGAGCGAGCGCTCGCCGCCACCCCGGCCTACTTCTGCTAGGGTGACAGATGGCCTTACCTGTCACCCCCAGGCCTGCGCTTATGGAGGACGGAGGTCGTTCTGCGACCTCCGGCGCCTGATTCGCCTGCGGTACCTAGCCCGTTCCCGGGCCTGGCGGGCCGGGAGAGTTCTAAACCTCTCCCGGTCCCGCTCCGCCGTCTCCTTCGCGAGCATAACTTGCTCGCAGAAGGAGACGGCAGAGTTCCACGCACTCTCGCTCCGCACGATAAGCAGTACTACCCTGGAATGCACTCTTGCACGAAATCAGGTTGTCCACAAACCATTTTAATTTCACAAAAAGGGATATGATCTCCTCCTTAATGAAATGACAGAACTATCTAATCCATAGTTTACCTTATATTCTGGTATTCATAGTGTATGAATATAATATTTCTGTGTTTCTATATTAATATATGTATGTGTATATATGTGTATTTATGTTGTGTTGTATGTTTAAGTTTAGTATTATATATATATAGTATAGTAGTAAGTATTGAACTGTGTATATTTTCATTGATTATATACATGATATGTAACCTCTGTGCATCTATGTTACAAAATTTCTACCCTACCCAAAGATAAGCTGGAAGAGAATACCCCAGGTATTAAGTTTAACTATGTACAAAAGTGCAAAAAGTTAAATAAATATATGTAGAACATAACACCTTTGTTAGAATATACTTACTTGAATCTCAAATCGCCAAGCTAAGTCCTGATAAGTGGGATCCTTTTGTTGCAACAAATACAAAGCATCTGATAGTTCTGTTTTTTTAGTGTTGTATAACTTTGCCAAAACCTCTTGTTGTTCTGTTGAAAAGCCTGCTATAGCCATTGATGACTTAAAATCCGATTCTGATAACTAAAGAATAAATATTATTAATTAAAATTAACTACATATTAAGTATTATGTTTGGGATTTCAATTTCTATAATTTTTATTTTTATTACTTGCCTTTAATTTGCTATCAAAGTAAACTACTGTAATACTTAAACTTAAAAACTTGATTTTAAATTGGAAGAGTACTTACATTTAATCTACATGCCTCTACTATAAGATACACCAAGGCATGAACCATATTTTGTACAGCTGTTACAGTTATGTCAAGCTTTTCTGAAATATTATAAATAACTATAATCGGTCACAGAGAGCTTACTCTAATAACAAAGTTATGCTATGTAGTGCACACAAAGTTATAATACCAAATTGCTAACCATGCATCTAGAAAAATGTATTCACAAACGTACCTGCAGCTATATTGTATTTCTTATGATTAGCACCATTATTTAAGTAATCCAAAGCCAATTTGCAAAAATCAATTAGCACTGCAAAGATAAAAATATAAACATTTATTCAACTTTGATAACATTTGCCTCACTAAAGTAGAAAAGATACCTTGTGTGGAATGTGGATGTAATAAGCTAAGATGTTCCTTTTGCAACTCGCTTAAAAATATTATCATTTTCTTTTTGTCTTAGTAATCTAATTACACTACAACCTTAAAAACACAATTTCCAACTAACTAACTTATCATTCATATATCTATATTTCACATGTCACTTTGACTGCTGTCATCTTATCTAACCACAGAGTACTATATTTCTTGTTAGTCCTTTATTTGATTAATGATGAGTGAAAGCGATGCGTTTTAGTCGATTATTCCGAGGCTTCAGTCTCTTGATTTCACTCGATTATTTTAACTTGATGTTTGTGATCAAAGTGATGCTTTCGAAGCTCCGCCATCGACACAAGGTCCAGTAAAATCTATTGAAAATTTCATAAAATTTTACCCTATAAATTTAAAAAATTATCTACACCAAAAACAAAAACAATTAAAACTCTAAAATGTATGCATTAGAAGTCACGTTTTATGTCAGTCATCTATCGATTAGATAGGAAATCATTACTTTTCATCTCAGAATTTATTTTGAATTGTCACTTGTCAGTCATTCAGCGCCATCTATCGAATAGATAAGAAATCATTCCTCAAGGAGATTTTACCAATGTATAAATTGTTTTAATTAGAAACTAACTGAAAAATATGTAGGTAATAGCCGCTTTCATAGACGGCGTTGTAATTAAAATCGTGTCGAATCAGTTTTACTCGATCGTCACAACTTCGTTCCTATCGGGTGTCCCACGACACTACACGGCTTTTTTTTTCTCTAAAACTCCACTGTTATTTTAAAAGATAAATACCAAAATTAATAATTTCTCGTGAATGTCTCGTGGGTGTCACTTTTAGATATGATATATTTTCGAACGCAATTTATTATTCTGTGACGTTTCTGGAACGTTACCTATATACAATGGCGGACACACAACGTGTTGCATAATAAGTTTTATTCATCTGTGAATATGAATTAGAATCACTTCTATCCTACTCAGTTGATATTTATTAGATGATCTGATGTAGGGTTTGAGACTAGCTAAATTATAATTACTAGCTGTTGCCCGCAGCTCCGTCTGCAGAAATTGTATTTGCACTATTTTAAAAATTTGCCAATTTGCCATACAATTTTCTATATTTTTCTTTCAGTAAGAACCTTCTACAAAGTATTAAAAAACTTTCAAAAATCGATTAATGATATCGGTCAAGTCGATCTCGAGTTAGTTAGTTTTATGAATGCAGTTGAGAAAAATGCAATATTACATGTAAATAACTGGGTGGGTAAATGAATCAGATGTTCCTTGTTTACACCCAAGGAACACCTGATTCATTTTATAATCCTAATGACTAATACCAGACAGGACTATTAAAATAATTTAATGCATTCCATCAAGAGCATTTTATTGTCAGACAGTGCTTTTAATATTCTGTAGATACTTGGAAGCTTCCTCCGATAGCATATTTCTCAATAATTCACTTGAAAATGAGTTAAGCCGTTAATAAATAATTGTATGATAAAATTATTAATATATACTTGAAACATATTTATTTATTTATTTATTTATTAAAAACAATTACAGTGTCTTTACAGGATTTATCCCAAAACGATACTGTAAGTAAAAACAGTAAGTAACAGTTATTTATATATAAAAAGTTATTTATATGTAGGTGTAATATTGTTTTAATTAATAAAAACCAGGTTATACCCATTGACAACAAAAAATTGATGATAACTTCTAAACATCACAAGATGTGGATATGGTATCTTGTATATAGGGCAGTAGTAGACCCCTATTTAGGTATCTTTAACTTTTCCAAATACAGTGGATTACTTGAGAAAAAAAATAAAAAGCAAAAGAAAAACTTGTTTTTAAACAAATTGCGAGATTAATAATTGTCCTAAAATTTAAAGCCTTTAATGCTATTCCAAATCGCATAGGTTTTATTTGATTCAGTTTTCAGCTCAAATTATTTCTTAACTTTATCCGGGTGAATTATTACACCATGAAAATGGCTTAAACACACTCTAGCTGTTTTTAGTTAGTTTATTAATGAAGTTTATAAAACCGCGTATGCTACAGAGCTGAGTCTATTGAACAATGTGTGGGCCCCACTGCAATTTAGAGTCTAGAGTTTTACCCAAAAAACTTAGTGGTGTCCACAAGATCCAACTCCTTTCCATTTATCAGAACACTGGTTTTTACTAGCTTAACGAAACGAAAGAAAAAGGTTAAAAAAAGGTGAAAAAGAAAAATCTAATACATTAAGTTTTTTTCTCATTTATAAGTAATTATTAACATCGGCAAATAGCACTATTTCCTGATTTTCTTTTATCAGATTGTGTAGGTTATTTATATAAACAAGAAACAAAAACGGCCTGAGTATTGAGTGGCCCCATAGTGGCTCGAACCCGAAGGACCTTTGTCCATTGACTTTCACTATCTCGATCTTATTACCCAAATAAAAGAAAAGAAGATCCAAAGCAATATTCCTTAATCCATAGTGATGCAATTTTCTGATCAATGTTTCATGAAACACGCCATCGAATGACAAAACTTAGACAAATCACAAAACACACCCACCAAATATACTTTCGAGAATTGTTTGATATATAGAATATTGTTTACACTAAAGTGAGTTTGCAGTTGATCAAGTATCATTTTCTCAAAAAATTTACTGAAAGTAGGTAACACTGAAATAGGTCTACAATTTGTAGGATTAATTTATTTAATTTAATTAATTTGTAGGATTCATTAGGTCAGCAAATACACCACATTCAATGCTCTTATTGAAAATTAAGGTCAACTCTGACGCATCTACGCTAATAGTAAACTGCCCTACGAACGTTCGATTTCTGCTGCTAGATAGCTTTAAAAATGATCGGAATGTTTAGTCACTCCGATAAATGAGTAAACCAGGTATTCTTTTGTCTAGCGTTTGCAAATGCAGCTCATGCGTGAAATCACTATGTATATATCTCTTAATCTGTGGTGAAATCTAATAAATGATACCTTTTAAATGAAACACATAGGAATATATTGAGCAAGAATAAAAAATGATGTGGATTTGACGGGTTAGGCGATAGGTCTAGTGTCTCTATGGTTGTCAATTTCTGACTGACGTAGACGTAGTTGCTTACGAGTTTTTCAATTTTGTAATTTTGTTGACATGTTTCTTTAATTTTACTTAGATTAATTGATAACTGGATCTTAATTAATGGTCATTAAAAAAGAAACAGCAATATGGCTTTGAAAAAAGTCAAGGGGAACTTCGAAAGAATGTTCGATAAAAATCTGACTGATTTAGTACGAGGAATCAGGAATAACAAAGATAATGAGGTACGTTTTTCTATCATCGCGAAGTTTTAATATTGAATTAAACGTATAGATTTCTATTTGCCATTCCAAACTCATCTGGTCTTAGTTGAGTTAAGAATTCATGAGACATAATTTTTCATATTTCGTGTCCCTATGCAGACACATCCCTAAGTTCACAAATTAATTTATTAAATTATTGTTACAAATATTATTTTCAATAATATCGTATTTCTGTCGAAAGTCAAACAAATTGTTTTCAATAAAATATAACCAATTTATTTGATACGCATGTAAATACTGCCAAAATAAGTATCTCGATATTCTTTCCTGTTGATTCAGCCAGTATCTGTTTCAATTCTTTATGTTCGAGTGTATATATTATATTTACTTAAGTGACAAGTGTATTTTTATAGACTGAGACTAATTAAAAAATGGTTTTGTAATGTTTTAATTAAAATAAATTAACCAACAGATCATATTATGTATATTACCTACTTGAATTCTTCAATTTTTTTTAGTCCAAGTATATAGCACAATGCATGGAAGAAATAAAAGTGGAATTACGACAAGATAATATAGCAGTCAAAGCTAATGCTGTGGCTAAATTGACATATGTAAGTAGATCTTGATATCATTCTATAGTCATTGAAACTAGTAGGTATGAAACTGATTATCGCATGCAAGCGGCTGCTCATGTAATATAAACATTCCCTTATCTATATTAACAATTTTACAACATTGTTATAAGCTATTAAAAGAATTATAAAACAATTTATTTACTTGCTATAAATGACTATAAAGTAAAATAAAAAAATATGAGGGTTGTTTTACTAAACAAAGATATATTTAAATGTTTTTAATATTGATAAAAACTTCACAAATGATGGTTCTGGAAATTATCAAAAATACTTTTTAACACCCTCATCAATATGTAATTATTTCATATTGAATAAGGAGGCCTCAGCACACTGCTAGCTCAACAATCTCAAGTGGTTTGATGTTATCAGTAATGACATAACACAACATATATAATTAGATGATAATGAGTATTCTATATATGAATAATTTATTTCATCTCATTTTTATATTTAGTTTATGCTGATGAGCCATAATTTATTTCAAACTTGGATCTACTCATTTTTGTAATAGTAAGTTGGCTTTAAAAGAAAGCCTCATTCATTAAATCTACCTCTCTATAAAAATGTATCTAGTTTTAAATAAAAAAATATTTAAATGCGATGTGTGCAAAAAAAAATGTGCAATGATTATTTGGTCATTAATACATTCTACCTTATATTTATTTCAGCTCCAAATGGTAGGATATGATATATCATGGGCCATATTCAATATAATAGAAGTAATGAGCTCCAACAAGTTCACTTACAAACGCATTGGATACTTAGCAGCTAGTCAATCATTCCATGCAGACTCGGAATTATTAATGCTCACAACTAATATGATTAGAAAGGATCTCAATGCACAAAATCAATATGAAGCTGGTTTGGCCCTTAGTGGTCTCAGTTGCTTCATATCACATGACTTAGCCAGAGACTTGGCCAATGACATCATGACTTTGGTTAGTATTTTTACAAGATTGTAAGGAAAATTGTACAGAAATGACAATTGTAGTTATAAGACTTTTGCTTTGCTTATTGTCTCTGTAACACTAAAAAACTTGATGAATAAATATTGTTTAAATGCATGGTGAAACAGAAAGTTGTTAAAATAAACCATTTCACACAAACTCTATTGATGTGTGTATATAAAATTTTGAAAAATGATTTTTGTTATTTAAACAATCACAATAACCTTGCAAGTTTTAGATATAAAGCAGACTGGAAAATGTGTTTTTATTAAAAATGTAATTTAGTCTAAATGTGTATTTTACTATAAAAATAGGGTTTCAAATATCTGCATATACATAGTTTTGTTTAAATTAATTAGTATAATATAATAAACTTAAGTAAGGTGAATCACAGTATATGATTAGGTGATGTGACAATATCTGAAATAGAAATCATTTATTACACACACTACAGTTACTCTATTTATATCTGCGTTGGAGACACCTACTCGAATTACGTTATTTACGCATTTATTATTAACAGAATTTCACATGCTGTATGTATCTAATTTCAAACAATAGAAAGAAGAGGAAAACATTAAAAAAAAATAATAATAAAGTATTTACCTCTATTTAAATAATTTATACATATATTTTTTAGATGAGCTCAACTAAACCATATTTAAGAATGAAAGCTGTTCTTATGATGTATAAGGTATTTCTGAGGTATCCAGAGGCCCTCAGACCAGCTTTCCCAAAGTTGAAAGAAAAATTAGAGGACCCAGATCCAGGTAACTATTATTTTTTAGTCTAATATAATGGGTGTTTGTAGGAGTTAAAAAACATTTCTCAAAGAGATCTCATTAAAAAATGAGATAAGTTATTTATTACGAGGGGTGATCAATAAGTAATGATAATCAATATGAAACAGAACTATTAGATTAAAAAAAGTATTTTATTTTTCAACATAGTCTCCTTGCAAGTTAATACATTTAGTGTATCTTTTTTCTAAGCCCATGATTCCCTTAGAAAAAAATTCTTTGTCTTGGCCCTCCCAAAATGCCTCTACTGCGGCCATCACTTCACTATTGTCCTCAAATTTGTTGCCCCGGAGGTGTTCTTTGAGCCGAGGAAAGAGGTAGAAGTCACTGGGAGCTAGGTCTGGCGAATAGGGAGGGTGTTCGAGCAGTTCGAACCCCGTTTCTTCAATGGCAGCCATCGCAACTGCGGCTTTGTGAGCCGGGGCGTTGTCTTGGTGAAACAGCACTCTAGCGCGCAGTTTACCGCGTCTTTTTGACTTAATAGCTTCTCGCAATCTTCTTATTTGGCCTGCGTAGTAAGAACCTGTTATAGTGGCCCCCTTTTCCAAATATTCCACCATAATAATTCCTTCTGCATCCCAGAAAAGAGACGCATTAACCTTTCCCGCTGAACTTGACACTTTGAATTTCTTCGGCGTTGGTGAGGAAGCTCGTTTCCAAGTCATTGATTGTTGTTTGGTTTCGGGATCAAAGTGGTGGATCCAGGTCTCGTCCATGGTCACAAAACGCGACAAAAAAAATTCTTTATCGGCCTGGAACTTTTGAAGATTCACCCTCGAAATGTCGACTCGTTTCTTTTTTTGCTCGTCGGTTAACATTCTCGGTACCCAACGCGCAGAGACCTTTTTCATATGCATTTTGTTGACAATGATTTTTTGAACGCTGCCATAGGAGATCCCTGTGACCTCAGCTACATGCCTTACGGTCACCCTTCGATCGGCCAACACGATATCTTCCACTTTTTTGACGTTTTCTCCAGTAAGGGACGTGGAAGGGCGTCCCTCGCGATGTTCATCTTCAGTGGAGGTTCTGCCAGGCTTAAATTCCTTTGCCCAGCGTGCGACTGTGGAATATGGAGGAGCAGACTCCCCCAATGTTTCCTCTAAGTCGCTGTGTATGTCTTTGGTAGACATTTTTTTCAGGCAGAGGTACTTGATGACAGCTCTTATTTCATTTTTCTCCATTTTGATGTTTTCTCTTCGACAGTTCGTATTCAAATGAATGTATCTCCCGGTAATGGTGTCCTATTTATACATTTTTTTGAAGCTGAAGTAGTGGATATATAAGCAAGCAGAAAAAAAATAATTTGGGTTTTTGTGCGTTCTAGAAATACTCGATTATCATTACTTATTGATCACCCCTCGTAATTAAATTGGTCATATTGTAGGAGCGACTACTGGAGGATTATGCCTTTGCATTATATTAATCAATTTAAAAACATGGTTTTCGAAAACTATTCATTCTTTCAGAAAAAAAACTACAGAAATCGAAACTTTTTTTAATTAATGATTTCTTTTTATTATAGCAACTATTTTCCATTCCGTTTCCGTTATGTTGATTATCTATATATCTCATGGCCTGATCTTACAATTTATATGTGTCCAAACATTGCATGAAGTGGTTGTATTTTATGGTATATATCCTTTAAAGATGAATGTTTCATTTGACCATATCTAGAGTATTTAAGACATGCTTGATATAATAGATAAAAAATATTATATAAGAATCTTATAATGTATATTGCTCTTTAAGTGGTTGTAAAGACAGCGATATTTTACTGCACTTTCATATGCAGTACACACACAGCACAAGCATATTATACTATTTATTCACCAGTGAATCATAAACATTCTTTATAGTCCCGAAAGTGATTGGAGAAAGATTCGACCTTGACATACTGCATAATGTTGTGATAAAATATGAGATAAATTTATTTTACTTTTTATCTATTTCAGGCGTTCAATCGGCGGCTGTTAACGTAGTATGTGAATTAGCAAGAAAAAACCCCAAAAACTACCTCTCTTTAGCTCCTGTTTTCTTCAAACTTATGACCACATCCACTAACAATTGGATGCTGATAAAGATCATCAAATTGGTATGGTTTTGTACTTCAATATATTATTCATCTTTGTTAATGAACTTGTTCTTGCTACATTAATAATAAAGAATAAAAAAAAAGATAAACAAACATATACTTTAAAATTGTTTAAATTACTATAAAATTGATAAGGCATTGTATTGACATTTTGTATACTAATAATGTTTATTGCTAAATTCTATTCTATTCTAAAAGAATGAGAATACGAACAGATGAATCTGTAATATTTTGACTGTTTTATTAGGAATAAATTAATAAAGCCTCAATTCTTCCCTCAACACCTCATAATATATTATATGAATGTTCCAGTTTGGTTTAATGACTCAGTATGAACCAGATATTGGAAGAAAAATAACCCAAAGCCTCATAGATCTAATTTGCAGGTACAACTAGTGAACTTTACAAAACAGAGTAACAGAAAGAGCTAGTTTCATTCACCACTCCTCACCATCAAAATTTTAAACAGTTTAGTTAGTACTACACACTTACTATACACATACTGGAATACTTAGACCATACAGCTTGTTTATGAAATTAGTGGACTGAAATTACATAAAAAAAATATCCAAATGTGGTTGAATGTCAAAAAATAAAAAAAATATTTTAAATCCTAACATATGTATGATATTTCCCTTCACTCTAAAGTATATAGTACGTACCGACTCGTTACCGCATTAAATAATAAAAAAGTGTAATACGCTATTCTCACTAGACGGTCAATATCAGGAGTGTAGAGCACAAATCCAAACTTTTAGTGAACAACATTGTATTTGATTGTTGTTTGTTAAATAAAATTTAGCATTATTTTTTTCCACATAAAAGTTAAATAGAACAATATTTTTTTCTGCTCGGCCGTTTGATGCCTTGCCGTGCCATCTAATTGCCTAATCCTTACAGAAACTGGGGTTAGGCAGTTTTATATATATATACATATATATACATCGTGAAATTGTAGTCGCCGTCCATATTGACACAGAAGAATCTTTAGTTAAATTTATAAGAAACCCGTATCTTACTTTAGTATCACATGATAAAAAAATATTGAGTAATTTGTCTCAAAAGCTCACAATTTGTAGACACACTGCACTCGGTATGCGCGCAAGTGTCAATCACCTCTCCATCGGTATCGCATACGTCGCTACATTTAATTGATAAATAAAGTATCTAACATAACTTCCAAATACTAAAACTTCACTTAATTAAAGGGCGCTTTTGAAATAAGCAAAAAATACATTAATCTTTAGTGATATGTACAGTAATTAATAAAAAAAACAATTATAGGTTAACTTACCACTACTGTTTTACATGTATTTTAATAAATGTTCAAAATGTAGTCTAGATCTTGTCTAACGACGTGTGGGTTGTGATTTGATCAGCAATGTTCGTTATGTTGGTTGTACAAACCCACACGAGTAAACAAGGCCTCGTCTGTCCATAAAATATTGGCACCAGGTAAGGCATCTGTTTCTTGTAAGTCTTTTACTTTTTGATAACGGTAAGGGTGCAAGCCAGCGGTGTTTATCAGCTTCTATACTGCGTATTGGAGGATCTCGTACTGCTTGCTCGAGGATCCCGTTCAAAGAAGTCGAAGATTTGTTCTTTGACCTCTACCGGGGTCGGAATCACGGTACGTGAAATCGGTATTTTCATTATCCTTTTAAATTGGGTATCTGTCATCCTATTTTCATAATTAGAACATCCATTTATGGATTTAATAATTAATTTTCATTAGCGTATGTGTCTGATATTCCAGAAAAAATAAAAATTATTCGGTATTCCACTTAAACAACACCTATGAATTGGCACATCTAACTCACATTTTTTGTATTTATTTTTGCTGCTGAAAAAAGTATCAACATCAAGTGTATGACTCTTGTATAGGCTGGTGAAGAAAAGAAGTCCTACATTTAAGAATTTTCCAGAAGAATTTCATATCATCATTTAGCTATCGGTTGCTATCACATAAGCTAGTCTTATGTAGTTTCATTGTGTTTGTTGCAGTTTGGTGCCTTAACCCCATTAGAGCCTCGACTTGGCAAGAAACTGATAGAACCATTAACTAACTTAATACATAGGTGAGTCAGTTTTTGTCGAACTACGCCGGGGGCGCCACTGACTATTCTAAACTGTCGATTGCGAATAGTGATGCTTACAATGTAGTTAGTACCTACAACATAGACAGAACTGTGACGTCCTCACTAACTTTGGAATGTTGTCTCTATGGGGTGAAAGGAAATAAATGCGTGTTTCATTGCATAACAATAACTAGTTTGTAAGATGAAAGATATTAGGACTTTACACCTAGCCCAATGGTCTTACTTAACATAAAGGAAGCTTACTGCATTGCTTATTTAAAATTTTGTTGAAATTAGCTTATTTTACACAGTAGCACTTTGTGTCTTATAAACACATTAGAGCTTTGAAACACTAGATAATGCTTTCGATTTAATATAAAAACATATTTGTGTGAGATGGTCACCACTTAGCGATTTGCTAGTCTTAATGCATTGCCCACAGGTCGATCGATTACGCATTCTGTGTAACTATTAAGACGTAAGTCTTTGTGAAAAATGATTTTATTTATATACTAACTTGCATATATTTCAAATGTAGTATTGCCTGTTATACAGAATTGGAAATCCTTGTATTTAATCGATGATATCCTGAAGTCCTATACTAACATATAAACAATTTGACGTCCCAGAAACTAACTTGAAACATTACCATGCAGTACGTCAGCGATGTCGCTACTGTACGAGTGTATCAACACGGTGATCGCCGTTCTGATCAGCATCAGCAGCGGTATGCCGGGACACGCCGCCTCCGTCCAACTTTGCGTGCAGAAATTAAGAATACTCATTGAAGATAGCGACCAGAACTGTGAGTGTTTCATTACATACGTATTTTATAAATCCACTCTTTCGCACAATAGTTCAATGTTCACAATAGTTCACACTAAATAATTCAGTGATGCATAAGTATTTCTAGTTTAATCAACTGACATACAAAATATTGCAACCTAAGCAATAGGCTAATAATGACAACCGAACATCAAGCGGAACAGCCAATAGTGGCAGATACTGACATATCGCTGGACTCATAATAATATATAAACTGTTCTTCAGCGTATAGGGCTAAAACGCATTGCTATAAGGAGAAATGTTGGATCTTTTATTATAGTGTGTATGATATCTTACATCTGCAGGACAAATTGTGTATGATTTAAAAAATAGAGGTTACTCCGACATCAACAACTCGCCACATATACTTATAATAAATAGCTCATTTAACCATACTTGTTACAATTACAGTGAAATATTTGGGTCTACTGGCTATGTCCCGAATATTGAAGTCACACCCGAAGTCTGTGCAAGCTCACAAGGATCTTGTACTCGCTTGTCTGGATGACAAGGATGAATCGATAAGGCTGAGAGCTCTCGGTCTGTTGTACGGAATGGTAAGTGGCGTCGCGTCAAATATTTCCACTGTTAATCTATACAAATAAATAAAATTAAAGTCTTTGTTTGTAATGTCAAAATAATAGGTTTTTTTTCATGCTTACACGATTATTTGCACGATACCTCTGATACCTCTGCCTGAAAACCAGTTTAAATATTTTTGTCTGTCTGTCTGTTGGTGCCGGGTAATCTTCAAAACGGGTGGACCGATTTTGATAATATTTTAGTACCAGGACTAACTGAAGCTATTGTCCTCTCAGAAAAACCCTATAAAATTTTGACCTGACCGAGAATCGAATCCACTAAGGCAGCGCTTTTCAAATTCCACGCAAACGAAGTCGCGGGTACCAGCTAGTCTATGAATATCTCTAATGGCATTATTTCAAAATCTACATCTAAATGTGCGATATGAGCTATACGTACGATTGATATACGTACTATTATAAATAACCATCATTCTCCGCAGTTTCAACCGTGTTTTTACTGTCCGACTAAGAATTCCTCAATTATTCATCTACTCGATACAAAAATGCGAATCCAACCGGTAAATCCACAGATTAACACGTTCAAAGAAACAAAAAGACCCTTAAACTTTATCGTTTAAGTATAGATTGACAATCGACAACATAGTGTGTAGATAACCTTAGTGTTCCTACACATGACAAATAAGTTAACAGGATAGTCATTTATAGCCAGGCAGTCCTTTTGAATGTTTTTGGAGACTGATTTCGTATTTATGCAATATTTTGATAAGATATCCTTTATATATAAGATATGTAATTTCAGGTATCAAAGAAAAATTTAATGGAAATAGTAAAAAAACTCATGGTGCACATGGAACGTGCGGAGGGTACATTGTACCGTGACGAATTATTGACGCGTATCATTGAGATTTGCTCACAAAACAACTACCAACATGTCGTGGACTTCGAGTGGTACATCACCGTACTCGCTGAACTCACCGAAATGGAGACGAGCGCTAAACACGGTCAGTTGATTAAATGATATTAAATATTTATTAATATATCGTGCTCATTGGGTGCCTAAGGCATTCTCTACTAGTCAAGTATTGAGTGATGCAGAGAAAACACTATAAATTATGATTTATTACGGGCTTATGATAATATATAAGTATAGCGATTCGTTCACAAAACTTTCACAAGATATTAAGAAATCTGAAGTCCTTACTCTTCCTGAATGTTACTATTTTAAACCCAAAATAGCAACATGTGACCCACATGAAATATGTCAATTCTGACGGGAGCTTAAGGTGTCGAACAAACAAGTTAGATGTGTAAGTCGGCGGCAGGTCGCGTGGTGGCCGCGCAGCTGACGGAGGTGGGCGCGCGCGTGGCCGAGGTGCGCGACTTCGCGGCGCGCGAGTGCGGCGAGCTGCTCACGCACATGGCGCAGTCGTCGCCCGGCCCCGCCTCGCGCGAGGTGCTCTACGCCGCCGCCTACGTGCTCGCCGAGTACTCTCGGTACGCTATACGTTCTTATTTTAACTCCCGCTGGGGCTATTGTCGTAAGCCGTGACACATGGAACGGCTGCCGGTGCCAAGCAATTCTTTTTTTTTCTTCCCAAGTTTTTTTTCTTTAAAAAGACGCCATCCGTACAGTCAATCCGAGTACCCCCTGAGAGTCAGGGCTCAAAGGAGGCAACGCAGGTGTCGATGGGCGGTTGTAGTTACTTACCATCGGGTGTCCCGTCTGTTCGTTTATCCTCCTCCTATGACTTACATGAAGTCTGAACGAAACGGTGTTCTAGGGACGAGTGGGTGATGCAGGCGGCGATATCCCCGCTGCTGGTGTGCGCGGGGCTGGGCGGGGCGCACATGCGCGCGCGCGCCGTGTGCGTGCACGCCGCGCTCAAGGTCGTGGCCAACCTGCTGCTCAAGTACGAGGCCGCCGGGGACCGACGAAGTGCCATAGACGTTAGTACATGACTCGTCTTAACGTTTTATAAATTTCTGCACTACTATACTACACTACTGCACTAATTACTATACTTACTATTCTTTCAATAAATTGTTTGAAAATTTTGACTTATATAACTACATTCATAGATATTTCCTTCTACTATATAAATGTACATAAATTGTACAGGTAATACATTCGACGCTATCGGGCTTACGTCCGTTGCTGTTAAGTGAAGACATGGAAGTGCAGGAACGGGCTCACAACGCCGTAGCTCTGCTGAATCTCGTTCTTCGGAAGATCAACCCTGATGACCCTGAACTACCGCCGGAACATACTCCATTGTCTGATACGGGATTACTTGTGCAACACGACGAAAGGTAACACACAGAAAATATTAATTCAATAAAATTAAACTCCAATAAAGTTAGTTTTCGTAGCTTTGAAAGAAAAAGTAATTGTGTATATCTAAGTCATATCCCAACTTTATATCTCTTTATGAAGTGATCCACCACCCATTGTGTCAGTATCAGTGAGCATTCAGAACGTCCATTCATAAATGTCAGTAGGAGCAGATAGAACTTTATTGTAACTAAAGCTAAAAAGGCTATCTATGACTTTCAAATAAAACAAAGCACAAAATAATTTTAAATACTGTAATTATTATTGAAATTAAACTTCTGACGTATTATAAAGTTGAGTAAATGCTGAAGACAATTATTGAAAATAACAAGCAGTAGTGCGGACGCGGAGCAGAAAAAATGTAGTACATTGACTTGTCATGTCTCTGTCCCTCTCTCTCCCCTATTGCCGTTGCACCCGTAGCGATACGATGACGTGAGAGATTGTAAACTTTTTGATCGTTAAAAAAGCTCTGCTTTTGTACATGGGATACATTGGCATAAGTATGTTATCTGTATGTAGGTAGCGAACCATACATATCTTCATCGATTATGATGATAATTATGATGCCGAAATCAGGATGCCCACAAACCGCCTTGCATTCAAGAGGAAAGTGTGCGATCTTCTTCGGAGTGAATTAGCAGAACAGTCACAACGCTAGTACCTGACTGAGTATTTATATATTTTATTAAATTTATGTAGGTTTATGTATGTATGTGTGTTTATATATTGTGTATGTCTCTGGACCTAAATTTTGTTAAATTTAATATTTCATTTTGCACCTACCGCATCATATTTCTACATCACCTGAAGGTTGACTGCGAGAGAATGCCTAATGGCATTAAGTCCGCCTTTGTACAACACGATCATTAAGTTAAATAAATATGTATTTGGTTAGCCGTGCCATTGCTTTTCATATTCAGTACGAGCCAATAATGCTCATACAGCTATTTTAGTTTGTTTTTATACTTAATTATTTTATTCAGTCGTAAGAACAACTCCGTCACGCGTGCTAGTATCAGTCACTCAGATTACTGAACATAGCCTAACTTTTATTCATAATAAAAATAACTCTGTCTTGAACTTAATACTAGTTTATTGTGAACTATTTAATAAGTGACACTAAAATAATAATTTTATCATATTTCGTAAGTAATAAATTACTACATTAAATTTTACTAAAATATAATTATAATTAGTATAGTAGCAGTTATTGTACGATAAAGCGTCAGACCGTTGACTTTGTGTATACCTGAGTATAGTATATATAATAATAATAATAATAAAAATTTATTCAAATCAATTGCAGCAGTTACAATAAATTGATCGGGCGACATTTAGTTAGTGATAGTCTTTACATTTAGGGACTGGTGCTTAAGAAAGGGAAACCCTGTGTTATAAGCACCAGTTTCCTTCCAGTTTATTAAGATATGCTATTTTTACTTCATCAAAGTGATTTACAATTTGCCCTGATGTTCTTACAGTTAGATTATATAATTTATAATATTTTAACAGTCTAGAATTTTAGAGTTTATGTGTGTAAATATGTGCGTGTGGTAGTGTATGTATGTGTATATGTGGGTGTGTTTATGTGTCCAGTGGATTTGTGTGATTACGTGTAGGTGAGTGTGTGTGAAAATCATAAGTTTATTAAAGGGGATGTAGAAGAGCTTCTGTCTCTTCGTAAGAGATGTTTTGAAGATAGGATGTTACTATTTTCTTAAACTCATATTTAGTTTTGTTGTGAAAATCAGGAATTTTTTCAAGTTTGTTATATAAGTAGCGTCCAAGAAAGAAGTAGAATTTTTGACCAAAGGATGTTTTGCAACTTGTGGTTTGAGGAATCTTGAATCTACGCTTTGTGCGCATATGTGTGGATAGTCGAACGAGCGTAGATCTAAACTGTTTCAATATATAAGACGGAATCCCATCAACGCCAACTGCGCAGTCCGTTCGTAAACTCATCATCACATGTTCAACTTCAATTTCATCAGTTTCAAGAAAAACAAATGAGTTGGGCGTGGAGAAGTTCATATTACACTCGTGAATACTGTCATTTGGATTTATTACATTTTCTGCTAATTGTTTACCTACATTTACAAAATATTCATTAACCAAGTTAACCGAGGTGACCGGACAGTGACTAGTTGATAGTAATTCTTTAGCGATACTAGTTTCTTCAGAGGTGTATGTTATGCTTTTAATAGCATCCCAAAGTTTTTTAGAATTACTATTAGCTTTCGTTAGTAAGTCTCTATCAAATCGTCGTTTCGCGTTCTTAAGCAAATTGTTGCAAAAATTTCGGTACCTCCTAAATGTTACCTTTATTATCTCGTTGTTGGCGAATTTTTTAAGCTTTTTGTACATACGGTCTCGGTTTCTCATACACCTTAGCAACCCAGGGGTAATCCAAGGCTTTCGGATTCTCAACCGAGATGGTATTATATGAGTAGTAGAGCTCATACGGATAGCTGAAGACAGTGATGTTATAAAATATTTACATGCGTCGTTTGCATCACTGCTTTCGTATATGAAAGAGAAGTCTATAACGCTGATATGTTGTTTTAGGAGGGCAGGGTCAATTTTTGTGGACACTTAAAAAGAAGAATTATTTTGCATATCCATGGCTAATGAAAAAATAACTGCACTATGATCAGTCACGGTGGAATGTAGCACTAATACTGTACTGTTAAGTTTAGTTTTCAAGATTACGTGATCCAAACAAGCTTTAGAGTGAGTTGGTTCAGTATGAGCTGGAAGAAGTCCATGGCTGGCTGTGAGATATAAATATTCCGAAGCCTTACGATCCTTAGAACCTTCTACTATGTCTATATTCATGTCACCGAGAAGCACAATATTCACAAATCTGGAGTTAGTCGTTAAAACATTATCAAGAGACGAGAGAAAACTGTTTATGTCTCTAAAAGAAGGGGGGCGGTAACATACAATAATACAAGTATCCCCACCAATTGTCGCTATTAAACAGTTAGCCTCCTGAAACCGTGGTTCAAAAACATGTATATTAGTGATAGTTTTGCGGACATAGGTCACTATTCCATCATTTTGGTTTATTGTTTTAGCACTGTGGAAACTATTGTAGCCCGCCAATAATGGAATATTTGGGTTGGTAGATAGCCAGCATTCTGTGAGCACTATAAGATCTTGCGTTAGCTTAGTTCGGGTCAGTAGAGAATATGCCCAGCTTGCTAAGCTGGGCATATTCGCTGAGACACTACGAATATTCTGGGTGAGTATAGTAAGTCTTCGCGGTCCATTCAAAAGCGAACAGCATTCCTCAGGTTCACAGGTGTAAGAATTTGAAACCTGCAGTTTGTCTATATCTCCCATAGTTTCAAATAACGGATCGAATGTTATTAGTAAAATTATAGATGTTCATTGCCCTTCGACTAACAAAAGCAATCCGTATGTTCTGAAGTCGTGTGTAGCGTATTTGTGAGTAATTTGAGTTCATGGTTATAGGTGTATAAGTGAGAGTAGCCATAGATACTTCAGTGTGATTGTATTCGTATGAACTTAATATTTAATTAAAGTAATTACCTAATATATAAATATATATATATATATATATATATATATATATATATATATATATATATATATATAATATATGGGGCCTATGTCCAGCAGTGGACTATTAAAGGCTGTCGATGTGTGTGTGATGTGAAATATAAATTAAATTACATACGAGTATATTCTGCAAAATTGTATGCACTTGTACTTGACTTCTGGCAGGAGGAACAAAGATCATCACTCTGTAACTATGACGTTTATATTTCCAGCAATAGCATTGAGAATGAACAGAATGCGGAAGCCATAAACGGTGAAAGTTCACAGACATGGACGGAGAAATTCAGTGGCGGTCTCATCGAAGAACTCGCCGACTTGTTCGACGGAGAACTGAAGCCCGTTGCGCCTAAGGCACAGAAGAAAGTCCCTATGCCAGCTGAGTATGTATTATTTGATCACTCACTAGGGAAAAATATAATATGTAAGCGGCGGTCGCGTTAGAGCCATAAGACCAGGGCTTTGGTTTTGCGATTAAGTGGTTGCTGGTTAGCACCCCGCCCACTGCACTACCGACGTAAATTCACCCGCTCCTAGTTTGTGACCATTCCCATACCTCGCTTGGTCAAAGGGGTTAAATAGAATAATGTAGTGTGCGACCCGTGTCACTGGCATGGCGGTATGGCATTAAAAATGTCAACATTTTTAATTATAAAATTTCCTTTTTTTTTCTGGTCACCCTAGGTACGAACTCCAGGTAGTTCGTTTACGTATCCAATATACAATTCAAATAAAATTAAAATCAATCTATAATTAACTAAAACTCACTAACTTACATAATATATTTTAATAACAAAAGTAAACGGTAATTTTATTTTTTTAATCGCTCATGTGGTAATCGATAAATTCACCATTCGTGTTATTTAAGTGTGGGAGTGTTTCCAGTTTGGATTTGGAGCAGTGGCTGTCGCACTCGCGCTGGTCGTCGGACAGCTCGAGCTCGGAGGGCGAGGGCGAGGGCGCGGTGTTCGCGCCGCCCGCGCACGACCCGCGCCCCACAGCGCAGTTCACGCCGCAGGAACTTGCCATGGTACGCCGTCGCTGCTTTCTCTTGCCACCGCAGGCGAGCCACGTCGTACTTGAGTAAAGCCTCTAAAGCTTACGTACAGCACGTGAAAGACACATATTAACAAAATAATACTATGTCTAGATTGTGGGGAGTCGTACCACCGTCGTTTCGTTTGGACATAGTTTTGCTCATGACATATATTATTAACTAGAAATCGCTTGACGTCAAATGTCTTGTTTTATTTCAATGCGTAGAGTAGACTAGACTTGTTTCATGACGAGTCAAAATAGGTTTTATGTAGTTGTTTTTACGTCGTTTACTAACTTTATAGCACATATTGTGCGAACATTTTTGCTTTCTGCGTTTCTACTTATGAACATTAAGGTATTGTAAATACGATAAGCTTCCGTACGTTATATTTGGTTAAAAACGGGTGCACAGAATTTTCTTTACGTATTAATGTATAGTTACTAAATAGTACGACTATTTTAACCAAACAATTGACTGGCTACGAATATTGGGATAAAAATTAATAGTAGGTTATGGCTTTTGAACCTGTCATACAGTCAAAATTGGTAACATAAGATTTTTTTAACTTTAGTTGCGAGAGGCGCGGAGACAGGAGCAGGCCAACAACCCGCACTACCTGAAGGACGACTCACCTCGCTCCTACCAGCAAGATGACATTCCTGTTGCAGAGATTGCGCTTGAAGTGCCTCTACAAATACACAGTTAGTGTCTTTGCGTTTTCTATATTTTAAATGCGTTTATGATGTAAGCCTTCATTTTTTTGTAGGATAATAGTGACTATAATTTTTAATATCTATATTTACTATCACAATTGTATGAAAATGACCATTACTAAATATTTTTTATCCTTTCTAAGGAGAGGCCTATGTCCAGCAGTGGACTATTAAAGGTTGTTGATGATGATGATGATATTGTATGGAGCAATTGTTTTTGTAAATTATCAAAGTAGACAAAGAATGAATATGACTGTGAAAATATTTTTTTAAGTAAAAATTTGAAAAGACTAAGAAGAGATCTTTCCATAGTGAGAGATAATATTCGCTTCTAGGGTTTATGTTATTCGCTTGATTGTTAATATAACAATATTATTAATTGCATTAATAGTCTTTGACCACCGCCTACACATTTTTTTTTATATACATATAAAGTAACCAAGACAATTGAAATATAACAATATATAATAGTTAAAACGTACCTATACGAGATATGTTAGGATAACATTTTCTATTATAATTTAAACGGAAATTGTGTAATGTTTTCAGCTAAAAGATCTGATAAGTACTTAATGTCCCGAGAGAGTACTAATAAAAAGAAGAAAGAAAAACGCACATCGAAGAAACGGAAAAGCAAAAAACAACAAATATCTAGTGACTCCGAAAGCGAAGGTAAAAAAATGCAGTATAATTATATATGTATTAAGACGTTTATATATACGCCGTAGAACTACTTCTGCTTAACGTCTGAACCTGTAAACTCGATTAGAAATAATTTTTGCCTTCGATGCCCAATTCTGGAGGAAGATTATAAAGTGAACTCAGTATAGAAACGAAACGGTAGGTACTATTGGGATATAACGGTGCGATGGTCGGTTGCAGAGGAGGCGCGGCCGGCGGTGGCGCTGGGCGGCGAGCTGCCCGACGGCGCCGCGCTCAGCGACGACGAGCCGCCCGCGCCGCGCGACGACCCGCACCGCGCGCTCGACCTCGACCTGGACCTGTGAGTACCGACCCGCCGACTTAGTGAGTCTAATCTGTGGCACTAAGATGTGCAATAACTCGTTACACTCGGAATCGACTCCCGACCCTTAACTTTACTCATAGTGAGTACGGTACTCACTGTTCGCAATACTGCAAGACTCATTTTTCGAACTGCTAATTGGAACTCGGTGAAATATATTATACCTTATCCTGTAGTATATAATTGAGAAGCATGCTTTTTACGACAAAAAATATTTTTCCTGGGTAATAATTTGACAAATTTACTTGTTTCCGTCCTAAATAATAATCTATACTAATATTATAAAGCTGAAGAGTTTGTTTGTTTGAACGCGCTAATCTCAGGAACCACTGGTCCGATTTGAAAAATTCTTTCAGTGTTAGATAGCCCATTTATCGAGGAAGGCTATAGTCTATATATCATCACGCTAAGACCAATAGGAGCGGAGCACCAATGAAGAATGTTTCAAAAACGGGAAAAATTTATTACTATTGAAAGACGCAGACGAAGTTGCGCGGGTCAGCTAGTAGTTAGATAAAATCGCTGTTTAAATATGAATTTACATGACTTACTAACAAAATAAATTACAGTTTATGTGAACAACTCGCTAGACGACACAAAAATCAGTAACTCAATTTAATAAAAGTAAGGAAGAAATATTTATCACCAGTTTTCTGTTGGGCCCTGTGTGCCAAAGCATGGCTCTCCCACAGTTATGTTACTTACAAATGAAATTTAGTCATATTATAAAAAAATAAAGTATTATTAATCTAATAACTAAAACAAGACCAATTTCGAACATAATTGTTTTGGCATGAATTTAATGTAATTTGTTTGTTATCATTGGATAGAATCATACTCAGAATGTTGTCTAACAAGTTCTTCTGTGCCGTCGTCTTCGTATTTTATTTTTATTTATTTTTCATTATAGACCTCTACGTGAAGAAGAATTACTCACATCAAGAATCCATCAGTATCCTTCAGCAGAAAGTGGTCTTTTGAACAAAAAGTCAAAATTATCAAAGAAGAGCAAGTCGACCGAGAAAAAGTCAGTTGAAAAATTAGTTAAGAAAAAGAAGGACAAGAAAACTAAGGAAAAATCAGAAGATTTAATGTTACAGGAAACGGACAAACCTCAGGTAAACGAAGATTTTCTTATCGAAGATTTAAGTAAGTCAAACGGTCAGAAGAACATGAAAGAAGCCGTCGGCGTAGATAGCGAAATATTACTCACTGAAACCAACCCAAAAGGTACTAAGACTGAAAAACATAAGAAATCGAAAAAGGACTCTAAGGACAAGGAATCGAAGAAGCCTAAATCTTCCAAAAAGGGTAAAACATACTTAATATGTTAAAATCTTATAACTAATTAGAAATATACTTTGATGCTAACAAATAATTTTCTCCTGTTTTTAGGTAAACATGAAACAAAGACGGGGTATGAAGAAGCGTTAGGTATTTCAACACCTAGCAAAGAAGTCGCATAGTGTACATATTTAAAGAACTTGCTTAGTTTTCTTGATTCATGTCACGCTATTCATGCTCAGTGCAATTGGAACAAGTTAGGCATATTTTTTACTAATTAGTTCAACACAATTACACTGTTCGATGGGTATTTAGTATTTACGAACGCCTAGTTTAGGCAGTATGTTTGACATTACAAGATTCATTTATGGCTACTCTACTTAGCTGCACTACACGTCAAATAGTTGTGTTATTAAAACTCTTGAACACGTTTTTGTCCTCGTCCTCGAAATCTAATTTTACATATATTTCTTAAAAACAAAAAAACTATATACGCATATATTTTAATCCCCAAATGGTCTAATATTATTTACCAGTTGCGCACTGGATGTATTAAAGAGCATAATAAAAGAATTCTCATTTGATCAATATATATATAGAAGAAAATAATAAAGAATATAGTTATAACGTTTCTGTGCTGTACTTAATACGCCCTTAAAACACTATGTCAAACATACTTTATCCCGAAACATCTCTCCGACACAGTGCATGTTATAATTTAACTTCATTTATATTTAAAAGTGAACTATGTCCATTTATTATATGAATATATTATATTTACATAAGTCTATATAGTAACATAAAATAAAAAGCTAAATATATTAATCATGTATAGTTTTATTATTAAAAACGATTATAGAATGTTTTGGTTTTCAATTTGACATGTATTTAAGTATAAATGAACAAACACGAACATTGACATTTCTTCCAGCGTAATGTCTTTAGACTATCGATAGTAGAATATAGATCGGCGGATATTACTATATGCCAATCAGTTTTCTTGCTGCCTCTTATATTCACTGTTCTGACCAGAAAGTAGATCCGGAATATCAAGATTGTTCTCAGCCGGAACCCTATTTTTAATTCAAAGAGAAATTTGTACTCGAAAGTTCTCTCTACACAGTAGTTAATTCATCCTAAAAATAAAAGTGTCAATCGAAAATCGATAACAAAAGGTTAAAATAATTTGTTTACTTAAATGTGTGTGCCGTATATTGTGTATGATGGTGGCGATACTGTTAGCGACAGATCGACTTGCCATGTTTGTATTGATATCATATCACAAATTACTAAGGGAGGAAACTGGACAACAGCACTGCACAGCAACAACACAACAAACCCTATACCAAACCGGACTATTAAAGGCTGTCGATGATGACATCACACTGCTTTTTTTTTAAATATGCCTTTAATTCAACTAAACTTTATATCCCCCTTTTATTCAAAGTAAATTGATGTAGTGTAGTTGAAGTAATTAATTGATTTATTCCGGCACTTTTTGGTATAGTACGCACGCGCTTGCTTAGATCTTTTAAACTGAGCAACGGATTTTAATGCGGTTTTCACCAATAGAGAGAGTGATTTAAGAGGAAGGTTTATATGTATAATATGTACATGCATATTATAGTAGAGGAAATCCGAGAAATTCAAAGATTTGTGATACATACTTTACTTACCAGATTGACTAAAGTAATGTACTATGGAATTGTATATCTTAAAATGATCTACAAAAAGTCCGCGTTGGTATATGTCTATCTCATAAGAATAAACAACAGTAACCATGATTACCCCTTTTAAATTTTACAAAAAAGTTATAGCTTATTTACGAAGCTATTTTAAAGAATACATTATTCTTTCTTATCCAATTAAATACGTTAGATACCTACGTTGTGCATTTAATGTAGATTAAAATTGCTCTTTACAGCATAGGCGTTCGCCGTCCGGCAGGAACGGAGCGGTATAATTACCTGCGATCCGCCCCGGCTTCGCACGGGTGCAATGTAAATGCCACTAATACTACTATGTCAGTGTGGAGTAATTAATTATATCATTACCTATTATGATAGGACTATACCACAGGACATCTTTATATGCAATATTTATAGGCCTGTTCCGATCCTGCCTACCGCTGCCACCCGGGACGATAAAAGATAAAAATGGTTACTGTGGATTATACTTATGAGATAGAATATACCATCGCAGACTTTTTGTAGATCCCAGAGAAATCGAGGGCAACCCTCAAATTTTATAGACACGTATTATGTTTCATAGGCTATTCTAGTCAAATACTAGTATGGTAGTAATTATCTCGTGTTGCAATTGGGGGATAGCTTATAATTTTATTTCTGATCAAGTTCTTTTTATCGTTATTTCACCGTGTTTAGAATTCTATTACTTTATTTCGATACAATTATACCGCGGTTGTTCGGTCGGGGGCATCCTAAGGGCGATTTCCTCACAGAAAAAAGGGCGGCCATCAAGAGCCAAGTTGAAAATCCTCAGTCTTTTTTCTAACCTTTAAGTAAGTATGATTGTAACTATTTGTAACATTCTAAGTGTTTTTTTCTAATAAATCAAATAACTCTGCACCAACGAATTGAAATATACGTACTGTTTTGAACATAATTGTTAAGGCTCCAGTACACATTGGCCAGAGCCAGGCTCCGCAATGCGCAATTGTAGGCCAACAAAACGTAGGTGTTTGCACATTGGTATTGGTGCATGGCTCATTGTTGCCTGGCAAAACATTTGCGAAGGACGTGGAACTAATTACGGCTGCAGATATTTGTTTTCTTTTTTTTATTTAAATAATGAAATTTAAAACCCGGTGTTACCCGCGGCTGTTGTTGTACCTCGCTCATCCCACGGGAACACAAAAATCTTTCGTGATAAGTAGCCTATTCCAGACTATAATCTATCTCTGTGCCAAAATACATCCAGATCCGTTCAGCCGTTTTTGTGTGAAAGTGTAACAAACATCCATACAAACTATCGCCTTTATAATAGCAGTAAGATAGTAATATTTAAACCTATGACATATTCTGCCCTACAATAAAGTACTGTAAGTGCATAAACACAGTTCGGAGATAAACGCTGTTAAAATTTCAAATTAAGAAAAAATATACAATCAAACGTGTTTTATATTCTTTTTATTTTTCTAAAGCAAGAATGTGGTCTACATAACAATACATTTTTCGTCTACGTATGGATTGAGGAGCCATTTTAGAATTTAAACGAATTTTAAAAGGAAACTGCCCCCTCATTTAGTAGGTGAGAAAATAATTTTGTAGGACAAATCCTGAAATTTGTAGTAAGATATATCCAAAGTTACGTCAATGTAAAAGTGGCTCCTCAATCTAAACATTTGAATTGAGGAGCCACCTGGAACACGGAAAATATTTAATGAATATTTTTGAAAACTGTATCATTAAGTATTAATTGTGGGTTGGATTTTAAAACGAGTCGCCTGAATTTGAGGGTATTGGTGGTGTAGGGGGCTTAAGGGAGTTAGTCTTAATCCCCTCACAGTAATTTTGGCTGCCGGAGTTGCGTCTAAATATTTTTAAACAATATCCAAAAATTCTTAAATACTCTTGCAATTATGCAAAACGGAACGTAATTTTTATGCTTTGGTACAGTTTTTCAAATGTAATTTTTAGGTTTTATGTGAAAAACGTGAAACGAAACGCAACCCGCCATCTTGGATGGATGATATTGACAGCTAATGTCAAATTTGTGCGTCATTCCTTTGCTTTCGAGTATAATAAGTGAATGTGTTCTTCCGTATCGATTTGTGTTTTTTCTACGACTTGGCTACGTTCTTGGAATCTGTTTGGATTGCTTTACTGTACGACCACGACTTACTCACCTTTGGACACTGAAATAACGCTATCGCAGCTTGCAATGGCGTCTGGAAGTAGTGGAAGTGGACACCCGGAACCGGGACCGTCTATGAGTTCGGGCCTTGGTGGAGAATCGGCAGTATATGAAGATGTTTTCGAGGACGACGGGCCCTTTCTCGATCGACGTCTCTACACAGAAGAGGTTCTTATGATGTGGAATTTGGCGAGAATAATAAAAAAAATTGGGCACCAATGAGCAGTGTGTGGCATTGGCCGAAGAAAACGGATTGGTGCAGACTCAAAAATTATGCAGAACACATCGCACTCCCATGAAAATAGCCAAATCGACCAACAGGTCATTTGGTTCTTGGTGTTGCACCAAAGGCAATTGTAAATCTAAATCTAAAATACCACGTAATAACGGGACATTTTTTGAAAATATAAAAATTGATTTGGTGCATGTTTTCTATCTATTATATGCATATTCAGTACTTTATGTTAAGTTTAAAATCAAAAACCGTTATGTTCTACAGTTTTGATATTTAAGGTATGTTTAATGCAGTGAACTATGTTAAATAAAAACCCGAAAACAAACATTAAACTTGCTATAATCTATAAAACTCGAGTTTCATTTTTAAATTAAATTGAGGTTCTCCATTGAGCTATAGGTTTGGGTCCCTTTTGAGGTATGAAGTAGGACAGGAGAGCAATTAAATCATAACGTCAGCTAGTGATTGGCTCACCGATATTGTCGCTGCTCCTGATTCGGTTTCTCGCACTTAAGTACGAAGAGTACACTTCCGAGCAAATTAATAGGGTATTCTTCTTTATTAATAATTTAATCATTTTTACTTTCGCTATTCATCAATTTAATTTTCTGGTATATAAAAATTGAGGTTTTGATGCGAGTGTATTCTCTAGAAGAAATGGACACCATACCAGTATCAGTTTTAAATAAGAAAGTGATTTGATGGAAGCTGTCACTCCTATTTCACCCTAATAATTTTATAAGAAAAATATTTTTAAACAATTAATTACAATTATTACGATTTTAAATAAAACCCTTTTCTCTTACAATAGAATCAAAAGCCGTGTGGTGTCGTAAGACACCCGATAGGAACGAAGTTGTGACGATCGAGTAAAACTGATTTGACACGATCTTAATTACAACGCCATCTATGAAAGCGGCTATTACCTACATATTAAAAACAATTTATACATTGGTAAAATCTCCTTGCGAAATGATTTCCTATCTATTCGATAGATGGCGCTGAATGTCTGACAAGAGCAAAAAGCCAACATCACGTGGAATACCACGTGATGTTGGCTTTACGCGTTGGGAATACCCAGGCGGTCACCCATCCAAGTACTAACCACGCCCGATGTTGCCTAACTTCGGTGATCGGACGAGAACCGGTGTATTCAACATGGTATGGACGTTGGCGAACGTTAAAGCAAATTTAATGTATGGTATCCACAGTTAGACGTCAATTTATATTAAAAAGTGTCGTGACAAATTTTCGTACGAATTTTTTCCGTCTAGCCCCCTTTCACAACGCGCGATAAGGAACTTCGTTCCAATAAGAAAGTTACGTAGTAACTTTACTACGTAACGTCTTATAGTTTTGATCTATTTTTATTCTATTTTAACTAAGAAAAAATAAATAATAATAAATGGGTGTGCATTTTATTTTGCCGTAAGTGCACGATGCCACTCTGCCGCCGAGCGCTCAAGATCCGTGCCGGTAACTGTACTGCACATTAATTGGTAATCAGAAAAAAACATATCCAGATTTCGAAAGTACAGTATACAACAAAATTACATTTTTAATTAGTATTTTTTTACCATCGTCCCATAAGCTGTTACCAACATGGAGTAAAGATTGGCGAATACTGTTATTTAATTAGTAAATACTTAATTCGCAGAATTTAACTATTTTCAACAAAGTAGACTGACGTATACTGTGAATTAATTAAATTAAAATTATATTTTAATTCACATCACATCATCAACAGCCTTTACTAGTCCACTGCTGGACATAGGCCTCTCCTTAGGAGGTTTTGGCCTACTATACCACGCTGGCTAGACGGGTTGGTATAGGGTTTGTGTCAAGTTTCTCTTCTTTTTGCAGTGCTGGTGTCCTGCGTTGTTTTGCGCCCTTAGTCGGTTCCTACGACACCCACGGGATGAATTGGGGTAGTGACATTCCGTATTCTTAGTCCGTCACTACACGGACATTTAAATTAGTTCTAAGTAAGTAAAAAACAACAGAACTCAAAGAAAGAGAAAAAAATCTCGATTCCATCAAAGTTATAACGTCAATTTGACACTTACTGTACTTTATTGTTTGTGGGGCAGTATAGCACTGTACGTTTGCCTTGTCCAGACTACCCCGCTGTAATTGCGATGTCATTCGAAGAGTTACTGCGGAGTGTTTTGCGGAACACAGAGCCACATGGGTCCCCGCTAATCAAAAGCTGTCGAGAGACCTGAATATTACCTATTAGAAATAAAACATCGACGTTTTACATCTTAAGGATGATGAAAATTAAACGGCAAAATGATTTATTTTACAATTTTTATTAATCACGATTTATAATATTTTTTTTATCAATACCACTTGCAAGCAAGAGAATCGACTCATCCTTGGTCGTGAATTCAGTAATTGCTTTAAAATACACTATACTATACCGTATGAATTCCACATTTCCATGTCTTTGTGTCATATTTCGAAAAGGCAACACTTTTAAAATGTGTGCACATTTCACGATCCTACTCTATAGTAAAATACATTTTTTAAAGTAATAATCCCTATACGATCTTAAAGCTTAAATGTGAACAGTGTGTATAACGAGTTTCTCAGTGAATTTTGGGAAAAATGTGTATGCGAACTCGAGGATTTACTCTATTCACCTGCTTACAAGTGTAGCTATACTGCCGGTAGCTCAAAAGAAAACACATAATTGCAATAACCTATAAATACATTCGGCTTTTTAATTTAAAGCAAAAAAAAACACTACAATCTGGATAACATTAATCAATTTTTAATGCCCTTCACTCTGTTACAAAAATTTCAATACGGCAAGTAAAAAGAAGTAGCTGTGGCAACTGGCGACGAGGAGAAGGATCGACTAATGATGTAATATCGACATTCGGTACACTGTTTTTTACAGCGAATACAGTTAACACGTGCAGGGCTTTCGTGTGTATTTGCTACAGGGATCCTCAGATTTTCCTGTACCTTTTCCACCACTTCCGCCGCCTTTTGACATGGATATGTGAACCTGCAAGATTCAGAAAAAATATTTGTTTCATATTGTAATATACGAGAATATGAAATATTTACCTATTATGTACTACAGATGAAGTTAATAGAAGCTTAAATAAAAAAATATTCTGTCTTTGCCCAAATAAACTGTGCAATTAAAAAAAAGACTGTGCAAAATAAAAAAAAGAAGGAATCGCGGAAGTCTCTTTTCAGTCATAGGGACAAATGGTGAAATGTAGAAATATAACTGAATGAAATGCACACGTGTTCCTTTATAGACCGGCCTTGGCACGCCGGTGTTAAAGCGCGTGCCATTAACTTTCACCCAATATTTAAGTTTTTCTGACCCATCACTAGTAGGTACTATCGTCTGTCTGCGTTTTCGGGAGCGTTTAAACATTCTGCATATCAATGATCTCCCTCACCTTATAAAGAACAGCCATGAGACGGTTGTTTTTAAAGTATTCTTGACACTATAGTGCAATAACTACGTTTTTTCAATGGTTCATTTTGGTCTTCAACGCAAATAATTTCATATTAAATCAAAATAAACTAAATGTATTAGAATTACCTTGCCTAATCTCTAATTACTTAAAACCAGTGGAAATGTTAAAGATGAGGTAATAGGATTGGTCTGGTTGGCCAATTCTATTTAGACTGTATTTCTAGGTATTAGACACCAAATTACAATCGGATCCTCGTATCACTGACACTGGCATGACAACCATCAGATATAATATAATGAATTCAATTTTTTGGGTAGGTGTAGAGCTAGATCGTGGAGTTAAAGATAACACACACGTTGCTTTCATATTTTGTGTGGTTTATTATGACGATTTGTGTAATAAAAGTGTGTAGAAATTGTAAAGGACGACCTAAATAAAATTTAAAAAGTCACCGGTAAGTACCATAGTTTTGTATCTGTTTGAGCAATGATATTTGAGCAAACTCAACGTCATTTAAAAGCTAAAGACTTGAACTTTAAGATACCCTGTGTACTTTTTTTTAGGCATAATAAAATTCGGGCACGCCATTATCGCGGCGGTAAGACCCGTTATCGATGATTGGTTCGAGAGGCATCATGGGACTCTCATACCAGCTGACGCAGGTGATCACTAGGAAAGGATGCTTCGGGGATCACCCGTGTCTGATCCACAAGGAGCCAACGCCTGAGTTCCACAACTGCGGTGTCCGAACCGTGGACACGGCGCTTCACACGCTAGCAGAATGCCCGACGTGGGTGGAGCAGAGGCGTGACCTCGTGGCGGCCATCGGGGTGGGAGTTCTCTTGCTCGGTAACATGATTGCGGCCATGGTGCGGAGCGAGAGTGCGTGGAACTCCGACGTCTCCGTCTGCGAGCAAGTTATGCTTGCGAAGGAGATTGCGGAGCGGGACCGGGAGAGGTTCAGAACTCTCCCGGCCCGCCAGGCCCGGGCCAGGTACCGCAGATGACTCAGGCGCCGGAGGTCGCAGAACGACATCCGTCCTCCTTTAGCGCAGGCCTGGGAATGTTAGGTGAGGCCATCTGTCACCCCAGTAGAAGCAGGCCGGGATTGCGGCAAGACGCGCTGCGGAACATTGAGGTTCCCACACAGGAGGGGGTCATCTTCCCGCCGTAGATGGCCCGAGGTACGTCGGGGTGCCAGGGATTTCCTTTCCAGGGCTACTGGTACCCGAGACAGCATACGGTTTTTAGTCGGTTCTGGGAGGACCTGGACCATGTGATTTCAGGTCTCTCCTGGATCAACGCAAGACCTAACTAGGTCCTATCCCGGATCAACGCCGCACTTAACTAGGTCCTATCCCGACATAAGCCCCAGGCGTCACCCTCCTTTTGGCCCAATCACTATCACGCGGGGTATTTCTCTTGCGCATGGTGGTCGGAGGCCCAGACGGCCGCGCAGTGCTGGCATTGCCGTCTACTCAAGTCCAATCGCAGTCAGGTACTCACCGAAGCATGCAAGCATGAGTATGCACATGAACTAGTAGTTGACGCGACCTGCATCTCTACTTACCTTCTCTTTGCAGTAACGCAGAACGGCGCCATAAAACGCGTTGGCGCACATTTCGAGCTGGCCCAGCCGCGCGAATCAGTGCCTGTGGGTGAATGCTTCGCCGCATTTTGAGCTCGTTCTGAACCTTCCCGCCGAAGGATCGCACGAGTCTGGTCATAGACCATCGTGCCAGGACTGTCACCGCCTCCGAGGAGATTATGCGGTATCCTTGTATGATCCGAATATTCGCAACCAGCTGAGTTGAGTTTGGCAGCGGGAGGAAGCCGTTAGGCACTTAGACCATATCTGCGCTCTGTAGAAGGCCATGGACCGTATCACCGCACAGTATAGACGGTGAATTTCCGCCCGCGGATCACCTAGATAAGACAGCGGCATCTGTAGCGAGCCCGCCAACCCCAGGAACTTGGGGTATTATCAGCTCAAAATGCTCCTCGAAGAGACAGTCCAGAGTGAGGCCGAGGTTTACTGATATGCCGTTTGACCTCGACCTCCGCTTACTCCACGCTAATGAGCGAGCGCTGATCTTTTAGGCAACCTACTCAGCCAGCTCCGAGTATTCCTCCTCGTAATAGACGATACTTATTCCTAGGGGAAGATTAGTTCTCTTTTATTTTAAAGATTAATTTCTAAAGCAGGAACAATAACAAAATCCCAAAATCGCCTATCGCCAAAACGGCTCGATAACTTCTAACTTGTATTCTCGTCAACTTCTATTTTTAAAGTAAAGTAATATATTTTTTTTAATTTGTGAAGTTGTTTATGTACCAATACCACTTGGTTTTTTGTTTTTTTCTAATGAAGCTAAACTGCGTCCTCACATATACGTATCCGCATTAGGCCCTAAGAAAAGTACTCGATACTTTGAAGTATCGATACTTTTGTTTCGAGACTTTAATGAGTACGATACTACTCATGAGTACAGTATCGATACTTTCTATTCAATACCGTGTCCCTTAGTCCTTTTCGCGAAGCAAACCTGGTCGAGTGCCTCAATATGCGCATGCTACTTGTTGACTGCACGGATGGCGTAGTGGTTTAAGCGGTCGCCACGCTGCTTCCTACTACGCCGAGTGTTGTGGGTTCAAACCCCACATGGGACGACACTTTGTGTGATCCACAAATTGTTGTTCTGAGTCTGGGTGTTCTTTGTGTCCGTTTCATGTATGTTTGTAAAGTCCCCCGCGACACAGGATTTATTCCTAATGCGGGAGTTGTCTTTTTAAAAAAAAAAAAAAAAAATTGTGTGGAAGCACCCTAATGACTTTAAACCAATAAAACTAGAAGTACACATAATTTTTCGTAAACTCTTCGATCTAACTCTCAGACTACATCTACCTTATAAATTAAACTCATTGTATCTTCTGGCGAAAAATTCCGACTAATTAACGACTAAATTTGGGAGAAAATATCTTCGCTAGATGCCTTAGTTTTTGAGAAATAAACGTGGCCAAGCCTTCCCAGTTCTGTCACCTAGAAACCCTTATAACTTTTGAATCTTTTGGACTTGGATCAATTTTTGAAAGATTATGATTTTTGGCGATAGAATTACGTAGAAAAGAGATCTTCGCTAGGTGTACTAACTTTTGGGATTCAAATTGGGCCAATCCGGTAAAAGATGCGCCTCAGATCGGTCACCTACGTCTACCTTTCTTATAACTCTTGAACCAGTGACCGACCAATTGTCATATTTGGCAACAAATTTCGACTATTTTTTTGTGTGTTACTATTTACATTAAAATCTCTGGTTGTGGCCATGGTAGTGTTAGTGACACAGGATCCATGTCGGCACCCAGGCCAATCTTGTGAGTATCTCCACAGCTTGGCCTAATTTGAATCTTAAAAGCAGTAGCCAAATGAAAAGTGACACCAATTTTTTGCAATAGATTAATCGTTGAAACGTTCGAAGCGATATTTGGCTCAGTGTTCGACAAATTTCAGAATGGCGAATGCTGGATGTTTGGATACAAGTAAATGCCTAATCTATCCGCACCTGAAGATGGATGGATGAATAAGATTAAGTCAGCAATCTTTTAATGTGTCTGTAATTGAGTTACTTATAATGAATAATTAAAACATGATTCATACATATACCTTGAATAGGTATTTTAATTAATTGATTACATAAACAAGTACACTTACACAACTGAATCACAATTAAAACTAAAACACAGATCTAAAATAAATTTATTCATAATAATGAGGTTTACCCAGAGCTCACAAATAAACTAATATAAATATATTAATCCAACTTACTGAAATGATATTGTACTTTCATATTACATAGAAAAATAATTGTTTTCAACTTATTACGATTACAAGTGCTATTTACAAATAAACATACATAAATAGTACATAATGTACATAATATAAGTTATTGCGCTGATACACGTCTTAATGAACTGCTCCAGGCAGGTGTACATCATAAACAGTATAAGAATATACACTATGTGGTATAAATTAACTTGAAACACTTAGAACTCGATTTCGATCGGGAATATGATAATTAATCGCAATTTTGATAACAACTTGTAGCTTACCGACTTCACTAGAACATCAATAAATTATTTAACAATTTAAACTACAATTATAGACCTGGTCACTTACATCTAAATGTACACAATAAATAGAACAATGAATGAACTAATAAATCTAATTGGCTTTATACAACCAGCATTGCATGTGTAGTATTTCGATTCGAAACTTTATTTTAATACTAACAGAATATGCAAGTAAATAGGAAACGTTACATTCTTTACACTTAAACTGTACAATATCACAAAGCACTTCAGCATATTCCCGTATATAAATAAAGTATACGTATGACATCAAATACGGAATAACTACATAATTAGAGCTATTTTTCAATACTTTTGTCACTGTTATATAAACACATTAGTTATTTACCTTTACGGGTGCCGTGAATAAGTATACCACTTACGAGAATTACAATAAATTCGAAATATATCAATACTTAAAAATGAATAAATGGGATTAGCATAGACAACTAGTTATAACCAATTAGATTGGATAGTAATGGTAAAATGTGAAAATACTGTATTTAAGGATTGGGGTTCATCATGTAGGAAGGAATATCGAACTTCACCTCAACTCCAGCTTTCTTAGCGAGATTAACGATTTCTGCAAGCTGGACGATTAGACGAGCCGCCTCATCCAGGTCGTCACGGGGCACGATACGCAGTCCGGATTCTGCGATTAATTTCCTTGCCTCGTTCACTTTAGTACCCTGCACAAAGTTTACGTATGTAAATTTTCATTACGATATTACACAAAATTGCTAAACTAAGAACATCACTAACTATACTTATATAATTTTTTGAAAATACACATATACCTCGATTAATGCAAATAAGACATTTCTTGCATACAAACATTTGCACTGAGCAGGTATCGAATCAGCTACGTCATATCGTTACAAATCATAGTATTAAAAAAAACAAGCCTTACAATTGTCGCCTATGATGAGTATATATTTCATCGAACACCTGACGACTAACTTTAACACTGCGCGCGGTTACAGCTTAACTCAAGTATACCGAACTCTTGTTAAATTAAAATTTCTCCCACAGATGGTAGGAAAGATGTTACGTTACACATTGCGTACAATACAAAATTAACAAATAAAAAAAAAAACATACCTGGAGGCGAACAATAACTGGAACCTGAATGTTCAAAGTCTTAGCTGCAGTGACAATACCTTCGGCAATGACGTCGCACCTCATAATACCACCAAAGATGTTCACCAACACAGCTGTCACTTTCGGATCAGACAAAATAATTTTGAATGCTTCCTGGAAGATAAAATATTGTTTTTTCTATAAAAATACAACACCCACACTAGGAATATATCCTGTATCAAGGAGGAATATGTACAAACATTTACTAAACGAACACTCAGACACACTAGGAGCAGCACAAGGAACCAGCGAGGTGATCGCTAACACCACTCAAACAGCAGTCAAATGTTAGATATCCATCATCATCATAATCATCATCATCATCATCATCATTAACAGCCACTACTAGTCCACTTCTGGACATAGGCCTCTCCTTAGATGTTAGATATCCAAGGTTGACTTTATTCAGTCAAAGTGATAGTATCACCGTGAGATTTAAACAAGATACGATTAAACCATCACGCCGCTGCATGATATAACTTCGATTAACAAAAGAAAATGTCAACCACAATATCAAATCTGTTTCTATGCACATACCGTAACGGCGGATACTGTAGCACCACCACCGACGTCAAGGAAGTTTGCTGGGTCTCCACCATACAACTTGATTATGTCCATAGTGGCCATAGCCAGACCGGCGCCGTTTACCATGCATCCAATAGTACCTGTAATGTTATTTACAATCAGCTCAACAACCTTAGTGTTGTGGTGTCGCTCAGTGCAAATATTTGTATGCGTGCATTATGTATATATAATATCTGTTTGCATTGGACTGGGTAATTGTATATTCTGTACGTTTTCTTAAAAAGAAACAAGTATATTTATGGACAGCGAAGCCGGATGTGCATTTCTACAATAAATTGTAGTTAATTAGTAATTCAACATACCATCAAGTGCAATGTAATTCAAGTCATTTTTAGCAGCTTCAACCTCTTTGGGATCTTCTTGTGTTGTGTCTCGATAGTCAAACAGTTCTTTTTGTCTAAATTCGGCGTTGTCGTCGAATCTAAACTTAGCATCTAGGCAGAAAACTGAAAAAAAAACAAACACCAGTTCTCTGGTTACTTTTTTGTCACTTCATGAGTTCACATCTATTGCATTAATTTCCCATTCACAATGGTGTTGAATTCTTGTAGTTAGTATTTTTTTAGTAGAGTATTTTTTTAGAATAAACCTTTCGCGAGTATTGAGCTAGCATAATAATAATTAAGTAGCAGTGGTTTTGTTAATCAGCCACAGGTGTGATGAATTGATTTTGAAACCATATGATTTATCAAATGTGATTGTGATTTTATTCCACCCCTATTAGCAAGCCTATATTGTCGTCAACCAGGCACTTATATTTCTACATAAACATACTTTTATTTCTAAATATATACTAAAATAAATGCACGAGACGTAAACATCGTTATAATACCCAAAAATTATAAGTGTTTGATAATTTGTTTACATAACATTATTAATACCATTAATTAAAATACTGTATAGATACATTGCACAAACAAAAACAGTTTCATGAAGTCCAGAAACAATAGGCTTCAATGACATCAGTAATGGTGAAGGTTATTGTAAATGGGCACCAATAACAGTTCGTTAACATAGCTTAGGTATAAACAATACAATCAAATGTTACTTACATTTGCCTGTAAGAGCGTCTTCGGCGAAAGGATTAATTTCAATTAAAAGAGCATCTTTCTTCAAGAACAGGTCGTACATCTGCTTTACCATTGCGTTGGCGTCTGGTGTATCGAGACCAATCTAAAAAAATTGTAAAGAACTCTTTAATAGGGCGTTTACACGCTATACAAGCCTTGACAAGTAAGTGTCCACAAGCACAAACGTGAGTATTTATATAATACTTATTCTTATACTTACACACGATGCTTTGCTTCTTGAGTTTGCTTGGTGTTAATTTTTTATATAAACAGTTCTTAGCAACCTCAAATAAATATAGTAAATCAATAAGGTGTATATTTCGAGATTGTCCAGAGAATCAAGGATTCTTTGGAATGTTTATGAATTTACATTTTTTATTTATTTCAAGAAATGTACTAAATTAATCTAATCTAATAAACAAATTCCGGTATGTTTTTATATTTAAATGTGTTAATTTAATAATCCTAAGGCTTAGACACAATACATACAAACATCCAGAAAAGGATGAGAGTAAAAGAAGTATACGTTTTTAATTGCGTCTAAGTGATTCACTGTCTTCTAAGGTAAATTTCTCGCAACTGCGACAGTTTATAGATGTCACACTTTAATGTCACTTTGAATTGTTATTCATTTTGTTGTATTTCTTTTAATACAAAATAATAAAAATAGTCCTATACCTTCTGGAGAACGCCTTTAATTTGTTCGTCAGTAATTCCCTTGGCAATGTCAATGGGTTCGTAAGTAATTGCGTCAGGATTTTCTGCAGCCACATCTTCAATATTTACACCGCCTTGTGAAGACGCGATGATCACAGGCCCCTAGGAATGAGATAGTTTTGTATACACTTAGGTATAGTATTTACTACAACGTTATAAAAGTTGTTCAGCAGTTCAGAGCAACATGTGCGGTAGCATGTTTAAACTAGATGTGGCCAAAAGCAAATGTCTGTCATGGGCAACTTTTATATCATAAATCATAATAGAATCCGAGTAAATAATAACATAGCCATCTAGACCCAAACTTATAGTTATGTTATTGTAGTACTTATTATAGTTTGTAGAACACGCTTTAATAAACTTTAAACATTTTTTGTAAACAACGCAAATGTAAAATTCGAATAGACATGAAAATTGTACCAAAAAAACACGAAGATACATATTTAGATTGGAATTCGGCCGAAAGCAAAATAAAGCGGCAGGTTTCGAACTACGATCGGACATGAGAATTCTCTCATATTATATTCATTAAAATCATGAATAATGATAATATTCATGAAAATCTGTTCCGTTTTCTGCCATAAAAAAATAGTTTTGGTCTAACACAATTTTAAATTATATATAGATTAAGATTTTATGATTACTCACGTTATTATTACACTTAATGAAGCAACGCAAGTGGTACTGAACTTAATATGCTTAAATAACTACAATAACACTTAATATGGACCGATATCAATTTTTAGAATAAAATAACGTAGTGTAGGTACTACGTCATTTTATTCTAAAAATTGTTTTTACCTACCTACGTTTAAATGTCCTTTTGATATTATGGCAACAAACATCTTAGTATATACAAGTATATACAGCACAGTCACTAGATACATCTTAGTCACACTTAGACAGTATATACAGATACAAAAAGATAAAAAAGGTAATATTACATTGAAGCTACGCTCCATCATGATAGCGATGTAGAACTCTCTGCGTGGAAACTTGCGCTCGGTAACCATTACCATGTTGCAAATACGTCCGGCAGCGCCGGTTTGCTTCGTCACCAGCAACTGCCCCAACATCTTACTGGCTAGATCGCCGGCGATCTGAGGTCTGTGGAATATAACAAAATTAATAATTATAAATACTTTGTCTGTTTTCTATTGTATTCAGTAGAGTTAAAGATATTCTGCTGATATACATACAAATATATATTATATATGACACATATAGCATTTTATTTTGACTAACAAATCGAAAAATAAGTACCAAAAAAATTAATACGAGGGGTGATCAATAAGTAATGATAATCGAGTATTTCTAGAACGCACAAAAACCCAAATTATTTTTTTTCTGCTTGCTTATATATCCACTACTTCAGCTTCAAAAAAATGTATAAATAGGACACCATTACCGGGAGATACATTCATTTGAATACGAACTGTCGAAGAGAAAACATCAAAATGGAGAAAAATGAAATAAGAGCTGTCATCAAGTACCTCTGCCTGAAAAAAATGTCTACCAAAGACATACACAGCGACTTAGAGGAAACATTGGGGGAGTCTGCTCCTCCATATTCCACAGTCGCACCTGGGCAAAGGAATTTAAGCTGGGCAGAACCTCCACTGAAGATGAACATCGCGAGGGACGCCCTTCCACGTCCCTTACTGGAGAAAACGTCAAAAAAGTGGAAGATATCGTGTTGGCCGATCGAAGGGTGACCGTAAGGCATGTAGCTGAGGTCACAGGGATTTCCTATGGCAGCGTTCAAAAAATCATTGTCAACAAAATGCATATGAAAAAGGTCTCTGCGCGTTGGGTACCGAGAATGTTAACCGACGAGCAAAAAAAGAAACGAGTCGACATTTCGAGGGTGAATCTTCAAAAGTTCCAGGCCGATAAAGAATTTTTTTTGTCGCGTTTTGTGACCATGGACGAGACCTGGATCCACCACTTTGATCCCGAAACCAAACAACAATCAATGACTTGGAAACGAGCTTCCTCACCAACGCCGAAGAAATTCAAAGTGTCAAGTTCAGCGGGAAAGGTTATGGCGTCTGTTTTCTGGGATGCAGAAGGAATTATTATGGTGGAATATTTGGAAAAGGGGGCCACTATAACAGGCTCTTACTACGCAGGCCAAATAAGAAGATTGCGAGAAGCTATTAAGTCAAAAAGACGCGGTAAACTGCGCGCTGGAGTGCTGTTTCACCAAGACAACGCCCCGGCTCACAAAGCCGCAGTTGCGATGGCTGCCATTGAAGAAACGGGGTTCGAACTGCTCGAACACCCTCCCTATTCGCCAGATCTAGCTCCCAGTGACTTCTACCTCTTTCCTCGGCTCAAAGAACACCTCCGGGGCAACAAATTTGAGGACAATAGTGAAGTGATGGCCGCAGTAGAGGCATTTTGGGAGGGTCAAGCCAAAGAATTTTTTTCTAAGGGAATCATGGGCTTAGAAAAAAGATACACTAAATGTATTAACTTTCCTTTCAACATAGTCTCCTTAGACTATGTTGAAAAATAAAATACTTTTTTTAATCTAATAGTTCTGTTTCATATTGATTATCATTACTTATTGATCACCCCTCGTAATAGATTAGACCAGAGACTGGCTTCCCTCGCGTTAGTATTTTTTTTTTTTTGGTATTTCTGTAACAAGAAAACTTACAATCGCATTTTTAATATTAAACAAGTTTACAAATCATAGCTTGTGCTCAATAATTGTTCTAAAAAAAACAATATCTATTTAAGGCCAGTATGTACAAATATGGATGAACTAAACGACATACGTATCTACCATCTTGACTCCGCCTTTCAGACCACTTTTGAAAGCACCTTTTCCTCTACCACCTGCCAGTACCTGGAAACAATTTCACAATTATCATTCTTGTCAGATCAATTTAAGGTACTTAAAACACAGCGCAGATAATAATAATTTAGTAATTACCTGGGCTTTGAGTACTATGTCTTTTGAGTTGAGATCTGTAGCAAACTTTACAACCTCTTCTTTGGTCTTCGCCACATTAAATTTAGGTACTGGAATGCCATTGTCACGTAGTAGTGTATAACTTACATATTCGTGGACATTTAGGTTGCGTACTTGCTGCTTGTTCGGCAGATTATTGTTTGCCGCTCCCACCAACAACTAAAACATGTTTAAAATCAATGGTTGACTTTGTACATTTGGATAGATGCAAGATAGATGAGTATCAACTTTAAAGGTCACGTACGGCAGAGGGTAACAGCTGTTACTATTACATAATAATTGACATGTCGGAATGAAATATATTTTTTAAAAGAGTATCTATGATTCAAAGAAATTAATTTACTCGGATACGGTTTTTTTATAGATTTCAGAAATTATAAAACTTATAAGAAAATTTCTTAAAATATGTATGTAAATGTAAAAAAACTTTTACTCTAGATACATAACGTTATTTGGTACCCGACAGCATCACGCAGTGAGCAATTATCTTTTTACTTGAACATAATTTATAAAATACTATAAATTATAACTATCCGTGTAGTGACGGATTCATAATGGACGAATACAGAGTTTCACCACCCCTATTCATCCCGTGGCGTGGGTGTCCTAAGAGCCGACTAAGGCCAGAATCGTTTTTCTAAGGAGAGGCCCCGTGTCCAGCAGTGGACTACCAAAGGGTTTTGATGATGATAAATTTATGAAATAGTTTATTTTCTAGGTACTATTGTTTTTAAGATGCTTAATTGTATGTTATAAATGTTTTCGAGGTAGGTCCTTCACCTCACGTCCTGTATGTGTGCCCGTTACTATCTGATCCGTAGTCAATCACGGAGTCGGCAAGTGCGAGGTACATGATTCTAAGTGTTTTGTAAGGTAATTTATATATTAGTATATATAATTTGGATAGAACGGATCTTAGTTTACTACATACGTTATTAATATGAGGCCCCCAGTGGAATTGGAATTTACTATCTATGGTAGAGCCCAGATACGTATGCTGACACGCACGAGTGTTCATGACCAACAATGACTGGCTCACAGGGCGATGTCAAGTAAGGTGAACGTATATGCATTATTTTAGTTTTTTTTTTTAAATCGGTAATCATTAGACCCACGTCGTGGGCCCAGCCACACAATAGGTTAAAGTTGCGCTGCATAACCCTCTGCGCCTCACGTAGGTCTTTATGCGCAGATATCAAGCATGTGTCGTCAGCAAACTGATACACCGATCCCTCAGTGAATATAACACACATGTCGCTCACACATAGTTATTGTTCGGTCGGTCCCAGAATCGAACTTAGTGCCGTGGCTTTGTCGGTTCGAATCATATCACTTAGTCACGTATACCATTTCCATTTAATTAAGTAAATAAGATTTTATAATCTAATAAATCAAATGCTTTACTAAAGTCAATAAAGACAACAAGTACATGTTCACGGTTGTCCAGATACCCGTTGATCTCATTGCTAAACTTGGATAGTAATTCAGACGTGCTTTTTTTTTTTTTAAACCAAATTGTTTTACATTAATTATACTATTTTCTTTCAAAAACCTACCTATTTACTCGCCTAAATATCTCTCAACTATTTTATCTATACATGACAATATAGTAATTGGCATGTAATTGTTTGTGTGTAGGCGTAACTAACATATATTTACGCTCGGTGACACGCACACTAAGGTACAAGTAAGGTTTCTATCGGTATCAAACTTTCCCCAAAAGTAAGGAAATTGCAACTGATTCTACCTTAGGTCATTAAAAGGTTTCTGCACTCACAAAAATATTTTTTTTTTATTTTATTTTTATGGATGCAAATCTGAAAAAGTAAAATATATGTATACACAACGAAACATTAAAAAAGTCGAATAGGAGAGATCATTTGTAAAGGTATTACGGCATTCCCGAGTTGGACCAAATGTTTGTACGATTGTAGAAATTTATTTTAATACTTATATTAATACTAGCAACCCTGTAACAAGGCATGTAGTGCAAGTGTATTACATTACCTACCTATGCAGTAAGTATTTTTTAATTTTAGAACATAAATGACGACTGGATGGCGTAGTGGTTTGTGTAACGGACTGCTATTCCAAAGGTCGCGGGTTCGATTCCCGCTCAAGTCAAACATTTGTGTGCATGAACATTTGATGTTTGATTTGGTCTGGGTGTTTCTATGTATAATATGTATGTATTTACAAAAAAAAAAGTATATAATGTATTTATATCGGTTGTCTAGTACCCATAGTACAAGCTCTGCTTAGTTTGGGACTAGATGGCGGTGTGTAAAAGAAAAAAATAAAATAAAAAAAAAATAAAAAAAAAATGGTGAACCATTTTAACTTGCAACATTTGTTCATAATGGTCAGTGTTTTTATTTTTCCTTTGGAATATGTTTTACATAAAAATATTAGAATAAACGTAGTTTTTACAGGTGGAATGTTACGTTATAATGTTTCTTATACTTTTCAGATGTGATGTGACACGCGTTTATTGCAGTGATTTTGAGTTAAAACTACAATTTGACCTTAAGCACTGACGCCATCGTTCGGGTACTGAGCCAAAATGGCTTAGTTTTACTTGCCTCACTCATCGTGTCGTGACCGCTAAACAAACGTGTATACGCGTTATTATTGTAAGCACCTATATAAAAATTAAATTAAACACATCGATAATCTAAATTTATATTTATTATACATAGAAAAGAAATTCTTAATTCTTTGGAATAGTGAAAGAACAAAATCAACATGACTTGACATGACTTAAAAATTAAGTAACTCCTTACATTTTTTTATAGGTACCTAAAACTCCACCAAGTTATAAGAGTAATATATGAAATGTTATCATTCTTAAAATAGATACTAAACAGTCTGAACATATCAAAACTCTGCGCAGCCGGGTTTTCTACATTTTGTGACTCCGCTTGGGTCTTTTTCCGTTTTTGCCTCCCGAAATCACAATGTTATAATCATACACTATACGCATATGCTCAAGTTATCCTCTTCCTCACTACAAGCATCGACGGGTTCAGAGTCGTCTTCAACCTTTACAAGCTCCAAAATATCGTATCAGCCCTGTGTTCCAGATCACGTCATCGTGTGGATTTATACGTAAACCGAAATTATATCACACGAACTAGAACAAAATAAATAACTATCATCACATACAAAACAGCTGATAAAACATTTGGTTCTGTAAGTTCAAAGTGTTCAAAATAACAAAGTGAATTCATTTTGACTCACAGAGGTGACCTATCTACGTAAATACAAGACTTACCTGTAACACGCGTGCACCATTCGATTCTCCAGCGGCGACACTAAGTTAGTACGAAAAAGACATATAGAAATGGTAAGTGTGTGAGTCGTTTTGACTCACATTATGTATTTAGGGTTAAGAATCTTATGTCAAGAATATGTGTGCACAAAAATGAATCACTCCATATCATAGACTTCTTGTTAAAAAACACTATGATTCTGAATATATCAAGAGACATAAAATATGTTAATTGGGAGCCAAAAATAAAACAAGATTCATTTGGCATATTTAGCAAAACTGCTTTTAAATGCTCCTGTAAATACCGCATAAAGGAAGTACTTATTTTCAGAAATGGAAAAATTAAAACAGAGTAATATTATTGTGCAAGTAAGAATCAACTAAATTGTTCTTTTTCCTTTTGTAAGTTTATTGTACCTGATTCCTGCTAATAAAGGCTGATTATTTACTCCTGACAGTGAATAATCTATATAGGTGTGATGAAGATTTCTTATAAAACAATCTCATCACAACATGAATGTACATTAATCTAAAAACATCTGTTTCAAATACAAATCTAAAAGTCAAACTTTGTTTTAGACAGTTATAAGAACTAATAAAAAATCTTTTTAAAAGATAAGAACTACAATTAAAAATTTAGCAAAAAAATATCAGTTATTTTATATCTATACTGAAAACTGGAAAATATGTTGCTGAAGTAGTCATGAATACTTTTACTCTATTTAAGAAAATTGAACACAAATATATAAAGATTGAATATAGCACCTACTTTTTTGAAGTTGGTTAAGAAGATAAAAAATGTCTGAGCCCTCCGAATAATAAACAAGTACTCATCACATCTCAACTAAAAGTAAATATTGTCTAATAATCTATACTAATATTATAAAGCTGAAGAGTTTGTTTGTTTGTTTGAACGCGCTAATCTCAGGAACTACTGGTCCGATTTGAAAAATTCTTTCAGAGTTAGATAGCCCATTTATCGAGGAAGGCTATAGGCTATATATCATCACGCTAAGACCAATAGGAGCGGAGCACCAATGAAGAATGTTTCAAAAACGGAGAAAATTTATTACTATTGAGAGACGCAGACGAAGTTGCACGGATCAGCTAGTATTCTAATAAGAAGATACAATTTGACTTTACATTCAGCTACCATATTATGAATAGAACACTAAGAAATTTTTCTGTTCTCTAATCACACAAACAAACATTAAAAGGATTATTCTTCTTTTAAGATAATTATTATTTTAGACTTAAACTGAGGATTATTATCTTTGATCTCAAGTCATCTTATTATACATCTCTGGTCTAGCCAATTGATATTGTCTAAGCTAAAAAAAATACAAAATTTAGATTTTTGCTATTTTTGTCTATATTATTTGATTTTTAAACCTCCTTTCTTAGGAGAGGCCTATGTCCAGCAGTGGACTAGTAAAGGCTGTTGATGATGATTGATGATTTGATTTTTGCTATATTATTTTCATTATTTGAAATAATATTAAAAATACATTATATTTACATAATTACACAATATTTTCATCACAGCAAATAACTTATCACAAAACAGAATAATCAGATAACAACATTCACTGGAAATAGTGATTAGGTATTCATGTTATTGATTCATAGAGATTTCTTAAAAATAAAAATCAAGTAAAACGTTAGTTGAATGTAAATCTGCCTGTTATCATGATATTGTTAAAGTCAAATATATTTTGAAGTAGGTATAACAATCAGTTTCTATTTATTGCAGCCAATAAAATTATGACTGACAAGATTAGAGCAAATCAACGAGATTAATAAGTTGTGATTTTATAATCATTAATTACTTTATGTAGGTAGTAATTTATTTATTTAGATATTTAACCCTATAAAGCATCAACCTTAGAATCTAAAAACTAGGCAGCTGGCTTTACTAAAAGATAATATGATGAGTATTACAATTTAAAATAATGAATAGTAGTAGCTAAATAATTTCAAGCAGTTATTATAGTTTTATATATTTAATTAATGAGGTATATATATATATATATATATATATAAATTAGATCGAATCCACGGTTTGGTGCTAGACGATGACGTAAGGTCACAATAGCAGAAACTGACAAGGTCAAATTTATAAATAAATTGCTAAATTACTGTCAAGGTACGCCGCAATTAGAAGAGATAACACATTCTGTAATAAGTTAACGTCTTTATTTAAAGGAACAAACTATAATTATGTTAAAAAATAAATTATTCCGAGACCGCATTCATAATTTAATATTCTCTTAACATTCCTATAGAACAGGTTATTTATAAATTAATGGAGGTTTGCATTAGACAAACTAAGTTAATGGCATACTGCTGTTACCTTAGTTCCATTTTTCAAAATAAGAGTTTGAGTTAGAGTTAAACCAAGAGACCGAGGGAGTAAAGTCGCCATTTTTCCACTACCACCATTTACCACAGACTAAATAAGAAATCAACGAAATACTGACTTTGAGTGACACTAACTGACAATCTAATAGTTGCCACAATCAACAAAACACAACTCCCACAGCAGCTTGTACAGACAAAGTTGAGAAGTATCTCAAAAAAATCATATTTGCAAAAAATCATTGCTTCATCTTATCCTGCCTGGGATATTATTATAGAAGTCTAACGATGTAATATGCTGTTACCTCAGGATATAATATAATATATGCAATAAGTAGTGAATAGTGATCTCATCTCGTGCTCTTCGTCCAACCACTGATGTCTTAGTCCCGTTCCCTATCCAAGAACTGCGTTGTAACCCCCACTCTAGTTTCCGCCCTATATACCCAAGGTAGGCAAACACTCATAAAAAAATTCCCCAAAACCTTGTGTAGTATATTAGAAACGATAGCAGTCACTAGTTTTCGAAATCAAAATAATATGTATAAGAACACAAAGCACAAAAAAAGTCTATCGTGTTACAAAAAACAAGGGGGAAAAGAGGATTAACAAACATGTGAGACGTATGAAAGATAAAGAAGGGAAGGTGTAGGTAAAAGATAAAAGGAAGACTTATTTTAAAATACTTATCAATAAGGAGAATGGTTGTAGCTTGTAGCGCAATGTTAAACGAGATCGTTTAACATTGCGGTACAATTATGATAATTCAATAATCATCATAATAACCTTCAATGAATATTGACACACCTAAATTTAATGAATATTGTAATATATTAACTGGGGAAAATAAAGTGATTGGAACAAATAAGCACTGAATAAAATGTTATTGACAGAGATCGGATTTCAGTGGCTGAATTTATTTTTCAATAAATAAATTGTTAATTCGTGAATCCTGAGGAAATTAAAAATTTCTTTTAAAACGTGTTTTTAGGCATCTATAATTGACTTGTTTGCAACTTTTTTTGTTAAATGTACCTATATGTTTACTACCATAAAATTAGGTGCAAGGTGTATTTTCGACCTATTTTGCCAGTTAATATGCCCATTATTGACACTCATAACTGCCTGAAACTGGACCTTGTGTTATTTATTTGCATTTACTAAAGTGTGTTCAATTGTTTTTTTAGATTGTTCTTATAGAATCTGTAAAAACAATTGAACAAACTTTAGTAAAGGCAAATAAATAACAAGGGTCCAGTTTCAGGAAGTTATGAGTGTAAAACAAATGAACATCTATAATATAGATGTTTGTTTTATCGATCATTATTTGTCTATAGATTTATTAGTAAAACTTAAGATATTATAATATACGGCCTTATGCAGTAGCATACATAAATCTTTGAAACTAATAAATTTGCAAATACAAAGAAATGTTATTGATATCTGTTAAGAATCGGTAATTATAGCAATCGATTTATTTGACCTTCTTATTCTTCAATCTGTCAGAACTGGCATACGATACCTCTTAAATTAGATGAAATAAATATAATATTCACAAGGGGTGATCGATTTTGCAAAAACATCGATGATGCCATCGATAGCAGAACATCGATACTCGATGTTTTTAAGCACAAAACATTGACGTCAGCCAACAGCGATGTTTTTTGAATACACTCGTCAATAAATAAAATAATCATAAAATCATATGATTTTTTAATTCAACGTGTTTTGGGTGCAGTCGATTTACAATTGGAGAAGCACTGTTATGGCAGTTCACAATTTGGTTATTAGCTGGACGCAGTTTTAAAGTAATCAGTTTCAGTTAGGATTGTTTCAATTCAATTCAATTCCCGAGAGGCAGTACAAAATGCCTTTGAAGAGTTTGTTGCCTCCCAGCCAGCTGATTTTTACAAGAAGGGCATCAATAAACTGCCAATGCGTTGGCAAAGATGCGTCGATTGCATGGGTGATTACCTCGAATAACAGAAATAAAAAAGTTTGAAAAAATAAGTACTTTCACTTTCATAGGTAATATATACATAGCAATTTCATAGGTAAAGACCTATTATATACAGCTTTCATAATAAAGAATGTGTGATCATCTTATCAGAATACGTAGGTAAATTTAACGTTGCAGACACAGAAAATGTATTGGAAAATTTCAAATGAGTCTGAAGTAATTTAAATTTAATATTATTTTCTGTTATTTGCATTTATTTTTTCGTACGTGTACACTTTGTAGCATTTTTACCTTTTCTATTGATCTGTTATTTATTTATTTACTTCAAACTTTATGCACTTTTGTACATCGGCGGACTCTTCCAGTCAACCTTTGGGTGGTGTAGAAATCATATAAGGTAGGTGCACAGAGATTACAAATTATGACATGTAATATTTATAATATTCATTAAAAAAATTCATAAAATGAAAACTACTGGGCCTAACAATGTTAAATTTTTATGGAACCAAATGGCAACTATTCCGCATCAAACTAAAGAAGAATCACGTAAATCGGATCATAAATCTCAGAGTAATCGGTGCACATTCATAAAAAAAAATTATACCAATCGAATTGAGAACCTCCTCCTTTTTGAAGTCGGTTAAAAAATATACACGGTTCACTACATACATATACACACACATATAGACATATACAACACATCACATCATACACATAAATATATTAATATATAGATAAATATCTTTATAAATATACAAGTTATATTCGTACAATATGTATACCGGAATATGAGGTGTACTATGGACTGGGTAGTTCTGCCATTTTATTAAGAAGGAGATCATGCACCTTCTTTTTGAATACAAAACGGTTAGTGGACATCCTGATTTCGAGCGGGAGCGCATTCCAGAGTAGTACTGCTTGAATAAAGAACGAAGAGTTCACGAAGTTGGAGTTGTGGGAGGGACATAAGAGAAGCAGATTATTTTCTGAGCGAAGATTTCTGTCGTGATTAGAGGACAGGTAACGCAGGTAGGGAGCGAGGTAAGTAGGTGAGGTCGGTGAGTTTAAGAGTGAAAAAAGAGAGCTAAGTGCACGCTGATGGCGACGCAGGCGAATAGGTAACCAGTTTAATTGGGAGCGCAAAGCAGACACATGGTCATACTTCATACATACTGTTATGTTTATCTTAAATTGCTACCTAATTAATAATTACTTTAAAAAGTCTATGTCAAGCGATCGCCCGAAACACACGTTTACTGGTTCAGGCAGGCAGCGACTACAGTTTTGAATAAAATCTTAATATCTTTATGTGTAAAAAATCATACGATACGAATCATAAGAATAAAATAACACTGCTATAGTTTTAAGCTAGTGTAATTTAGTCTAATTATTGTCTAGGATCTATTATAAACTGATATGCCCTACACTGTAATGTATATTGGTCAAATAAATAATATTTTTTATTAAAAACAAAATTTATATATATATAGAAACACCCAGATATTAAATGTTCATCCACACAAATGTTAAAAATTGAGCGGGACGAACCCGCGACCAGTGGTGTAGCAGCCCATGACGAAACCACTATGCCATGCGGCCTTTAATGAATGCCTTATATTACTGCCAGAATGTATAGAATTAAATCAGTTGTTGGAAACGCCCAACGATTTAACATCTCTGTATGCTTGCATAAGAGATCGGTTCTTAATCCGTATATCCTCCTTTTGATAATGGATGCTCTAACGGATATGTAGCACGAGACGCCTTCGTGCATGCTGTGTGCATATGACGTTATATAACGTTAAAATGGTTGCGAGGCTTGGAGCAGACTGCAAAAATTGCAACAAAGACTGGAGAATATTGGTTTAAAAACCAGATGAACAAAAACTTATTGTGCAATTTTGGCAGTCTCTGTAAGGGACGATTTTAGTTAACTATTGCATTAGATTGACGGCATTGAATCAATAAAAGCGAGTGAAGTGGGCTTGTAATAGTTGTAATTGTAACATCAACTATTTGTGATAACAAGTTTCTTATGACACTAAAAGGCAAGTTTATTAGACAATCATCAGTTCTACTGTCCTGTAAGGAAATAAAAGATGACATACAAATAGAATGTTATGATTGTGACTAGGAACTATGGTGCAAAATGAATGTGCTAGAGGCAGCGTGTAAGTACTGCTACTGGATGGCAAGTGTCTAGTCTATTACTTTATTGGCAAAAAAAAATATCTTAATCTTGATCTTAAAATATTAAGGAAATTAAAAACCAGTAGTATAAGATGTATTTTTAATAATGTAGGTGTTTAAAAAGTTACATATTATTATTAGAATTTTTTAACTGCACTGTCTCTATATTTTTATTCCTTTCCTCAGCCCATATACCATTTCCAGTAAAATAATGGTTTTTCTCTAAAACATATAAAATTAAACTTAACTTCTGGGAATTACTTAAACTATCATAGTTGAAATTTTCATGAAAGATTGAAAACTGTTCACTTAGTTGTCTTCGGTTTAGCTTATTTAAAGTATCTCGTACTTTTTTCCATGGATATAATAAAATAATGCAATTTTCATATATCTCAGTATCACTAAACATTACAGATAATTGTTCATATACATATTTAACTTGAATGACTGGAGTATTAATCCAAAAAGGATGTCTTCTAATAAGATTACCTATCTGAGATACTTTATATTTTCTTCCCAATGATTGAGAAATACAAAAAAGTAGATCTTTTCCTTTACCCAAGCGATCACCAGGAGCTTTTTCAAACACTTCATAATGTGCAGAACTACCTGATAGAATATTCAGGCTTAGGCACTTTTTATTATTTGCATACAATTTACCTAATCTCTTCATTGCAGTCTTATTATAGTGAATCATTTTAAGAAATCTTGGATGGGTAAAGAACATACTAAATTCAGGAGTGCTCTTTGCTTTTTCTAGTCTTTCCCTGACTGTCTCTGGCCCTAAAGTGTATATATCAAAGCATCTTCTTTGCGCCTCATTACTTATATTGTATTCTTCTAAAACCTTTCGAATGTCCAGCAGAGTCTGACAATTCTTTACAGCTAGCTTAGGATGCATTCTGATTACTTCCTTAATATCAATGCCACCTATATTCTTGAAGTTGTAAATAATATTCTTTAAGTTTTCTGGATCAGCATGCAGTAGGTATAAATTAGATTTGATTTTGTGATTTGGTATTGCAATTTGTGACTGTAATATTTTTAATGATTCATTTATATATGCTAATGGCCGATGTTTCGTTGTAGGATATGTTGAGATGCCTCTGTAGAACTCTTCTTTTGTAAGATCTAACACAAGCTCCAAGTATCTTTGAATTATTTTTAAGCGTAAAGTAAATAATGTTGACTTATTAACATCTTCATTAATTAATGTTGTAAGCGATGTTGGCCACTGGGTCATATAACCTGCTAATCTATTTTCAACATTAATGTGTTGAGGTAATATCTGTGATGTTTTCAATTCCTCTATAGATCTTTGTCTTAACAATGTTAAATATGTAGCTACTAGCATAGGTGAAACATTTTCTATTCCACATTCTATAAGAACTTTATAACGGTATTTTAATGTTACAGGCAAGATGCCAAATAATGCAGGTTCCTTAATTAATCCTTCAGAAGTAAATCCTATTTCATTAACTGTTTCTACTAAGTTTTGGATTCTTTCTTCATTTAATTTGGCTACAACAGGATATTTCATTGTCAAATATTGCGCTTTACTTTCATTTAAATTGAAATATTTACACAAATAAGTAACGTTAGTTTGTTTTTCTTGAACATCTTTAGTTATTTGTCTAATGTGATAAAGTTTTCTGTAAATTACACTTATGTTTTTGTATCGTTTGCAAATCATGATGAATTGCATAACATCTTTATAACATACCGCAGTTCCCACAAAACTATTTACTTTTAATTCATAAACTTATTTCAACGGGAAGTTATTAGGGGATAGGAATTTTTGTGATAATAAAGCAAATATAACAGAATGACATATGTAACATATGTCATATTTTACAAATGACAATTTAAAATGGTGCCACTTCTACCACAGCTCTACAAAAAATCCTTTGACTGTTTGTCTTTCAAATACATGACATTAGCGAAATTGTGGTTACACTCCACCACAAAGCCGTCAATCAAAAGCTGAAAATATTACACAGATCAAGGCTTAGATACTTATAATATTACAAATTGTCAACCTGTACTCTTGAAAATATATGTACAAAACTCTTGAATCTGTAATATGTTTTGAAATAAATTGCATTTTTGGCAATACTATAGAATAAACCTTCAGAGTACTAAATATTTTTTAGAGATTTTTGCAATAGGTATATGGAAATAGGGCAGTTTCGCAGTTCTTATCTTAGCATTTCCAAAGCTAATTTCTACTCATAAAGTAGGTGTATGGTTGCAAAATACCAGTTATTTAAAAACAAAAAGAAAAAACCACTGTACTTGTTTTCTAATGTACTTACCTCCTACGACAAGTTCTTTATCTATGACAAGAACTGTTGTGGGACTACCCAGTCACCGATGAAGAACACTACTTACTCTTTTGGTAACCCTCTCTAACTCTGGGTGTCTCCACTTAAGGGGCGGCTACATGCTTCTGTGTCTCTCTTTTCTTGAGTTGCAGGTTTTGAGAAGCGACAATAGTCACTAGTACTCACTTACCATTTTAAGATCAATAGGATAAAAAAAAATATCTAAAAGAAATAAATACATATCAAAATTATGTTGAAATAAATTATTCAACTTCATTCATTTTGTGTTCATTTTGTATCTAATCACAGATCTTTTTTATACCGGCAGTGCGGATAGTCCTATATAGATCCAATGTGTCTCAGAATTTTTCGAAATAAAATGCGCTGTAAAATATCGCTGTGCAGACGGTGTTATTGTTTTGATTTGATATTTGATATACTATATTCTGTGGTGTTATTGTTTTGTCTGTTTTGGGTTCTGTTTAGCTTGCTACAAAATAGTAATCTGTGGTTGGGTTGCAAATCCTGGCAAAGGTCTCTCTCTAATAATATTACTATCAATTACTATACTGAGTACTCTGTGGCGCAAAGCCGCTAACATATTATTATGTACTCTGTGGCCACTAATCAAAAGTTGTAAATGTAGTTTGGGCGTTTTATTGTAAATAGTTTTTACAAAATGAGTGAATCAAGAACAGGACAATTCGCACTTGCCTTCTTTATATTGGGGTCATTATTTATTATAATTGCCTTTGTTAGCCCTCATTGGCTAGTCAACGATGGCAAGTTGAAAGATCCCAAGTTTAAAAAATTAGGTAAGGCCGGTTACGTTACACTGGTGTTGATTGTTTTTGTTATAAGAAGTTACATCTTTTATTAACGACAAACACCTTGTTTATTTATGTCTAATTATGCCTTCTCATTCAATGACCCTTACATTAAATTTCAGGTTTATGGGAAGTATGTTTTGATGGTTTTGGAGATGTACATCATTGGTATGATACTGTATTTACCGGTTGCTGGTGGATTTTCGAGGAAGAATATTACATCATTCATGATCTATTACTGCCTGGTTTCTTTATAGCAACACAGTTCTTCTTTACAATTACTATGTGTTGTGTCTTGATATCTATGTTCTTATCTTACCTGTATATGAAAAAAGATAGAGACGATGACAAGTATCTAACTCTTCTGGTAACTCTTGGCACAGTTCTGGTCATAGGAGGTTTGTAAACTTGAATGTAATAAATTTTGACTTTTTGTAACAAATTTATTTTATAAATCATAATATCTTCTTGATTGCAGTTAAGTATAATAATTTTATTTATTTCCAGGATTTTCAGGTCTTATATCAGTAATTACATTTGGAGCTCGTGGAGATGGAAGAGACTGGATGCCTTATTGGGAACATAATGAGTTAGGCTGGGCATATGCACTTGGTGTTATAGGTGTGGTTTTGTTATTCCCTGCTGGTATTCTCTTTTTAGTGGAGGCCAGAGTACAAAAATATAAAAGACTTCATGAAATGCAGAGCCGAGAACCTTCTTCATATACTATGCATGAAAGAAAAGTAGGATATTCAGGAGGTCATACAGACATTTGAAACAGATAATACAAATATTATTTAGGAATTTACTCCGTCCAATGATAAGGTCTTATATTTTATAGTACCATAGGAATTATTGCCTGTCCACAAGGTTCTTCATAGATTTTAGGAAATACATTACTTAAGCTGGATTTCACAACAAGAATTATATTGTAGATAGGTAGTTAAGGTATTGTCATTGTAATGACTAAATGAACAATGTAATATGTATTTATGTTGATTTAAGCAATTTTATTATTTTTCTTTGTAGTGTATGTGATCACTTTTATATTCATATTGAGAATTATGATTTTATAGCACTTTGTCTTAAATATTATTATCTGTTTATTGTGCCTGCTAAATTATATTTTTAAGTAAAATAGTTTTGACATGTTGCATACATACAAATGTAAGGCCTAGCAATGCTTTAATGTAATGCCTTGGAAATATATTTTTACAAAAAGAATTATTTATTTTATATATCTATAATTTGCTTCTTTAAAATCCATAATGTTAATATTACTTAAGTTGGGTGAGACAGTGTTTTTTGACTTCAGTGTCATTTTTGCTACTCTAAAACCTATTGAAATGCATTGTGATTCTTTAAGTCCAGATAAAATTCCATGTAAAACGCCACTTGAAAAACTGTCTCCTGCCCCTGAAACATTTTCAATAGTTTCAAGAGGATCTGTTGGATACATTTTTACTATGATTCTATTTTTGTATTTGATATCGCTATTTTTATTTTTAATAGTGATTACTCCATTAGCTCCTAATGTAATAATTAGAAAATGTATATAAGGTGACACTGTCTTGGACAACTGTACAATCTCGGTTAAATCACGACTGGTTTTGCTGGATTGTGTTGGATTTAAAACTCTTGCCATTTCCTGTAACTCCAAAAAATTTGGTGATGCATAATTTATAACATACTTGCCGCTTAAAGCTTTCGCTGCTTTTCTTCTGTCTGTAGGTTCGAAAAAAACTGTAACAAAAATTTTTCATGTTAAAGGCTAAAAAATATCATTAACTTAAAAAAATTGGGTGAGTTCTAATCCTCTGCTAGTCCCGGTAGTAGGTTTACTACTTACTCACACATTGTTGCCAATGAGCTTTTTCCAGACGATGCTTAAAGACCCTATTTGGCCTACTAAACAGTAAATTTAATAATTATTTTATTATGGTTATGATACCATTCGCTACAAAATAATTAAAAGCTTAAGCTTAGCCACGTTTATATCTCAAAAAATAGAGCACCTAACCAAGACCTGTTCTCACCTAAATTTAGTCGCTAATCATTCGAAGATTGTTGCCAAATATCAGAATTTGACGGCCACTGGTTCAAAAGTTATAAGCGTTTCTAGGTGGCGTACCTAGGGGGAAGGTTCCCAGGACGGCCACGCTTATATCTTAAAAACGAGGGCACCTAGTGAAGATCTGTTTTCTCCCAATTATAGTCCCAATTTTCTGCACATTTTTTTGTCACAGATTTACTCGGGTCTTAGTTTAGAAAATATTTCAATTTTTAAGAAATAGACAGGTAGAATTATGACCCTCAAAAAATCCGGAAAAAAATCCTATTGGAGCGAAAAAAATATTTCATTTCAGACTCAATTATCAGGAATTGATTGCAATAAAAATTGGTGACAAAACAAATGTCAGAAATGGTAAAAACAAGTTTTTCGCATCTGGAGCGAAATCTAAAGCTCCTACGAAAATAAGTTGCATGTAAGAATTGTGCGCAATAAAAAAAACAAAGAGAAGAATCCCTGGAGAACAAAATCGGACCATCAGATCGCCCCAAATTTGCAGAAAACCACGTTTTCTTTTGCAAGTTCGGACATGCTGTCAATGTTGTAAACTTGTCACTATGTACAGTTAAATTTTCAGGTCAAGCTAAACTAAACTTTTTGCAAACAGACTTTTGTAAAAAGCGACCTTTTTTCAAGCGATTGGGAGGGGGTTTAATTTTTTTTAAACGTTATACTTTCGGCACCTATGTATTAAGGAGGAGTTTAACTACAAATATCCTTTATAGATCATTTGATAAATATACATTTGTTTTTACTTTTTGCGTGGTAACCATCTTAGCTGATAACGAAAACTGGAGACATGTCATACTTGCGAACATTAAAGATAAATCGAATGCAGTTATTGAGTAGACGATCTAACTTGTTGAGAGGATCTGCATTCAGTTCATTATCGCACACGTTATCATAGTCGATTAAAGGGAAATAAGAGACTGCACAGGCGTTTCCTAGTTTTCACGGGGAGAAAGTTTTTTTAGGCGATTTAGTGTTATGAGGACGCCGGTAACCCTCTGGCATACATAGGTAACTTGATCGCGCCAGTTCAGAGTATAGTCGACTTGTAAGCTTAGGTCTTTTACGCGTGCGTTGCCCCAGCGAAAAAGTTCTAATTTCAATTTTTGAGTTTAACAGATAGGTATTCAGTGTATGAAGTCGTGTAATTGTGCATGCTAAGTAAAAATTTGTGCATTCAACCATTGGGGAGTTATAAACGAAAAACTGTTTCCGCTGGGACAACGTTGTCCCTGTGGAAACAGAAGAAACAGAGGTGAATAGAAGAAAAAAATAGTATCAAAAATTAGTATAAGACGTGAGGTAATTGTGTATGCTTAAATTTGTGCGTCAATAAACTGCGAAGATATTCAAGTTTCCGCTGCGGCAACGTTTGGCCATTTGCTAGATTTCATATAAAACGCTTTTATAGTAGGTGTAGGTGCAGTATATTTAGGTAACATTCTTAAAATATACAGTATAGGTAATACCGGTATTGAATTGGTACAGGTGGTTACACAATTCTTTAGTAAAATTTCGAGAATAATACATTAGGTGGCTTGCTTTTTCTGCATCTACTGTTGCCAGCGTATTTGGGTCTTACGATTCTTAAAATATAAAAATTTATGACAAAAAAACGAAAAATAATCATGTGCCAAAATTCATAATGGGCAATTCATTGCATAGATCATAATTAAGTATATCTTGGAAAAATTATATATACGACATATTATATTATCATAAAATCACAATCAGGATAGCACACAGCCGCCTATCATTTCGACATCGATGAAAGTCTGAGCTCGCATTTTAGACACCCTAGCAGATTCATCATATCCGTAAAGTTTTATATATTATTTGTGTATATATGTATGTATGTAACTCTGGAAGAATATATGTATGTGTATTTCAGTATGTATGTATGTATATCTGTCCCACCGTTTCTATCCATCTCCTTAATTATTATCTTTTTAAAACAACAAAAATGATTTCAAGTGTACCTACTCAGAACTTTCTCCACGTAAAGGTAGACTGGGTCCGCCATTATACAAAAAAAAATTGAATTTAACGTAGTTAAAACAAAAATTATAAAACACGATGTATATGTATATGTCAATTTATATATATATATTTATAAATGTGTATGTTCATGTATTCTATGTGTATACTTGAAACCTCTATGTATATAATAATATGTAGTAATGAATACCTATAGTTTTTTATTTATATGTAAGTATGTAAGTTAGATTTATCTTAAATTAATAACTTTAATATAAAAAAGTCAAATTCTCTGTTTTCTCTTGAACCTGCAGCATCATTTTTCTACATCACCCGAAGGTCGACTGGCAGAGAATACCTTGGGCATTAAGTCCGCCTGTGTACAACTTGTGCATTAAGTTAAATAAATAAATAACTATTAATTATGTACTTATCCGCCTACAAAAATAAAAGATGATGAGTTTTAAAACTTTAAATAAAATTCAATATTTCCTAGTCAGTAGTATATATGAAATTAGCGTGTTGTCGTACTGACCACTTTGATCTGAAATATCTCCTCTTTGGTTAAGAATTCCAAATTAAAATTTATAAATTCATTTACATTTGAGTTTTGAAAACAGTCATTCTTTGTTTTTTTCCTCATTACTTTTTTCTTTGGCGTCGCTTATTACCGCACAATAGAAAACATGAAATATCGGTATATATGAAGAAACAGCTCGAAGGATTAATGATGTGTACGGCGCTGGTGTCGCAAAAGAAAGTACTGTACGTTTTTGGTTTCAACGTTTTCGTTCTATAAATAATAAAATAAAATAAATACTCTTAGTACAAACTCTTTAAAACCATTATTTCACAAGTGTACGCTGTTACTACTAGCAACAGTAGTAACAGCCTACACTTGTGAAATAATGGTAGGGAAGAACAAGACTACGTCGGTGGCGCAGTGGTAGTTTGTTTATGCGACTGCTGTGCTAAGGTCTTGGGTTCGATTTCCGGTTCGGACCAAATGTTTGTATGCTCTACAAATATTTGTTTCGTAGTTTGGGTGTTATCTATGTATAATATGTAAGTATTTACAAAGAAACTATACAAGTATTCTATCAGTCAATGTAGATTTCATACTTAGTACAAGCTCTGCGTAGTTTGAAAGCGTTATTATTATTAGAATTAAAAAAATCTGATGAATGAAAAAATTAAAAAAAAAAACACTAAAACTCACACAAACGTTGTACACAATAAGCTATTACATTCCAAAACAATTAGATTTATATTAATGTAGAAATAAGTTATTAAGAAGTACGAGTAAGTAGGTAATAAACAGAGCAGTTTCCTTTTTTTTTATATTTACGTAGTCAACTGTGTAATACCCTTATTCCTAACTGCTATCTCGTGTTGATGAGCTGGTGATGGAAGGTACAACTCTTTAACGGTGAGGAGTTACAGGAAGATTCTTTTAATATCATATGCACTTATAGACCCTTAGTTGTATTCTTTCAGGTGAGCTGATGATGGAAGGTACAACTCCTTAACGGTTAGGAGTTGGAGGAAGATTCTTTAAATATCATATGCACGTATAGACCTTTCATTGTATTCTTTCAAATTATTCAGGTGAGCGAATAATGGAAGTTAAATAAAAAATATCCACAACCGTCAGGAATTAGATGATTGATACTTTAAGTTACTGATGTAGAAACCTCTATTCTGTGGGAAAACACATGTAAAATTGAGGGTTAGAATAGCCACATACACCATACAACGAGCTTGTCTTATTGTTCAAATTTAAATATTTTATTTACATTAGTCTTAATCGTTGCATTTCGCGCAATGCTTTTTCTTCATTAATTTGTTGGGCTCTAAGTCGCAGAGAGCAACACCATCTAGGATCTTAACGCGACTTAGTGCAACATAAACTTAGCCTTTGGCAAAAATTTTTTTGCCAAAGGCTAAGTTCATTGTTTAATCTGTTTCGTATAACATCTAAACGATGTTCACGTTGTTTGAGAGTCTTATTAGTCAATCGGTTTCGTATAACATCTAAACGTTGCTCGCACTGTTCAGTGGACTCACCACTCAAACGTTCATGTATCGATCACGGTCACAGCGAAATACAGCGTAGCGAGAGTCAATAAATTCGTTGTTGTAAATTGCCGGTATCAGCCAGGTTTCTGTTAAAATTATGATGTCATAATCAAACATAAGAATATTTCTGTAAAGAGTATGCAGTTTCGTTCGGATACCCCTGCAATTTTGGTAATACATACATAAATGCTTATCCATCGCTGATCATCTTATTATTACAAACATAGTATATTCCATTTACATGTATAAAGCGTATGTGGCCGCTAGATGAATAATTCCTAAATTTGTATAACAATGCAGTGATAAGCGCCAACTGAAGTTTATTATCCACCCAACGGTGTACGCAGACGAGTAAGAGAGTAAACCGTGCCAAGTTATCCCTATAGAGATCTGTATTTCATTACATAATTCAATGAAATTATCAAGAATTTTATTTTCTTGTTACGTAGAAATCCCCTTACCGGGACAGATCTATGTAACTTACACAGTAAATAAGTCATTTATAGCATGCAAGTAGACAGACTGGTAACAATCAGTAAACAAGCTCTCGAGAGAACAATGATAAATAAAGTTGAGGTGAATTGAATTTGAGAGCAGATATATGTAACACGTAAGTGGTTAAGCGATGATAGTATTACTTGATGCAATATTTGTTTTAGCCTCAGAGTTATGTTTAATTTTGCAAATATCATCTTCGGTACGAACTGCAAATGAAGCGATGCCTTCACGCTCGCGTACCAGAACCGTTGAGTTTTTAATCCACACGTATTTAAAGCTGTGTTCCTTGGCTGCTTCCTTGCATTTTAGAAATAACTGCTTGGTTTTCAGTGTGAGATGTTCGTTTATGTAGATTGTAGCTGGTGAACCTGAAATGCCTATTTGGTCAGTTATAAGAGGAGTTTTATACAAACGGTAGGCGCTTAGTAGATTGTCTCGTATAATGCGTGTTGGAAATTTCACAATTATGTTCTTTGGCCTATTATTAGCTTGATGAGCATGCTGGACTCGATTGATAGATATAATATCTTTCTGTAATATAGGGAAATTTATACTATTTGATATCAGGTCCACCACGTGAGTTAAGTTTTCGCTGCGCCTTTCAGGGATTTTACAAATCTCGAGATTGCAAATCTCCTTGCTTGTTGTTCTAATGCATCGATTTTCTTTTCCAGATTCTTGATTATCCGCGAATGGGCGGAACCATCACGGACAGTGGTCTCGAGACGTTCATTTATGTACTTTGTGTATTCTTCATGCTCTTTTCCTAAAAGTTCAACCTTATTTCTCATTTCCTCGTAATCTTTATTAATGTAGATCATGGCCTCCTGAATGTCACTGTTAGATTTTTGTATTGTAGTGCATTGTAATTTCAGGTCTGTAATATCAGTAACCAATTTGTTCAAAACTAGATTCTGCTCCTCTTTCCATGTGACAAGCATTTCTCTTATTTCGTTTTTGAAGGTTTCCAGTATTTTATCAATGTCTTGATTTGAACTGGTCTTAGGCGATTCAACTCGAGGTCGTTTTTTTTCCTTGTGGTAACACCTGTCGCTTCTTTGTTCGATTCCGCCGCTACTAACACAGGACTAGTATTAGTATTAGCTTTAGGGGTATGTGGTGGTGTACGTTTCAAGGGCATAGCTACATTAATCAAGACGGGCGCACAGTATAATTTGATCAGACAGTATTTATAATTAATATGTAGTATTAAAGAGCACACTAATAAAGGCCCTGGTACAAAATGCTTCATAAAACTATATTAATACTTTCTAGCAAAAGCACACCAATAAATGCCCACTCTGAGTTTTGTGCATTCTATACCGGGCACGTTCCAGCCTGCAGATATTAAAATTTTAAAATAAAAAAAAACTCATTTTATAGATCTCAATTAGCCCTTTCGACCTACGTTAATTAATTTATAAGCCCGTTTTTCGTTTTCCCCGGCAAAATAGAAATATAATTTTCAATTTTCCTCTACTTAAAATAGCCATATCTCTTTGAAAAATGATTATTTTTTACTCTACCAAGCGTGAAAAAATTGCCCTTGCGCTAATTTAATTTGCCCGCGTGCTAATTCTTCAAAATATTCAATAATTATTATTGTAAACAATAAAAAACCGTCGTGGCATTTTTAAGCCAATTATTTGCGCATTGCGCATGCGCGACAGAATAAAGGTGATACTCACATCGTCAACTGCAGATCAGCTGATGCTACACGCACAGAAGGACTTAAAAAGTTATTATATTACTGTTTCGGGAAGTTTTTCAGTACTATTACTATTTTTTCAGTACCCAGAAAATCAAAGGTGGGATAAATGAAAAAAGTTGAAGGGTGAGGGGGAGGTATTTTGTGCGGACCTCAATACAATCATAAAAAAATAAGTCATCCCTCGAAAATACCCCCCTCCCCCCTCTTTAGAAAAACAGACTGAAGTGTAGTTACATGTTACGATACTTTTCAAAAAAAAAACTGTAGGGGCCAGATTGTTCGTCTCCTTTTCTCGGTTCAGACAAACCCAAACATGGGAGTCCAAGTGCTCCAGGTACCGAGAAAATCAAAGATAAATGAAAAAAGTGGAGGGGAGAGAAGTGGAGGTATTAAATTTTTTGGTGGGGGGGGGGGATTGTATGTGGATGTTATTACATTAATAAAAATAAACTGGTCAACCCCCTTTGTCATGACAAAGGAACACCCTACCTTAAAAAAAGTTCTGCTATTCATCGATAGATGGCAAAACTAAAAAGTATCACCGCTGTGCCGGTCGGAGTGAGAGGTGTTAGGTTATTTTCGTTACGGAATTTCTGGATTCGGTCTCCACGCTCAAGGCCCGCGATAGAAGCTATGCAATAGCTTAAAAATAGTTTCTGTGGGTTATCCTTAGGAGATAGACAAATGCCATCGCGGACTTTTTTGTAGATCTTTTCAAGATATACAATTCCGTAGTACATTATTTTGGTCTATCTCTTAAGGATTAGCCAGTGTTTACAATGTAAGCGCACAAAATCATGTTTTTTAAGACAAATCTTTAAAATTCTTAGATTTTCTGTGCTCTATACTATAGTACATACTGTACTTACTATGTATAATACCTACATATAAACCTTCCTCTTGAATCACTCTCTCTATTAGTGAAAACCGTATTAAAATCCGTTGCTTAAAAGATCGTTTTTATAAGTAAGAGGGGGCAGACGAGCAGACGGGTCACCTAATAGAAGATAAGCATTGCCGCCCATGAACGTCTGCAACTCAGGAGTCACAAACTCGTTGCCGGCCTTTTAAGAAGGAATAAGCTCTTTTCTTGAAGGTCGTGTTGGTCCGGAAATACTGCAGACAATAACCCGTTCCACGGAAAGTTGCGGCTGGTATTAGTCCGAACAATTCCTCTGAGCACTTTCCATGATATATGCGATAGAGAATGCAGAGTGAAACCACATCTCTACATAATGCTAAGGGATCGAGCCGGTCTGAGATGTTTGGGCCATCGACGAGTCGAGTCGCTCTGCGTTGGATGCGGTCCAGAGGGAGAAGCTGGTACTGAGGTGCCCATGCATAGAGATGGGAACAGTATTCCAAATGCGGCCGGGCTGAAGGCGGTGGGCCGGAGTGAACTACTGCCTCGATCTGTCCAGCACACAGATTTCTTCGAGGCCAATTTGACCTTACCCTCTAAGTGACCTAAAACTTTACTTCGCTCGATATTTCGATGCTTAGGATTTCGATGCTGGCTGAGGCAGTTAGGGAGGTGCTCTCAAACCGAGGTGATACGAAAAATGGCATCTTCTTTGCGGTGAACGCACAGACCTGTCTTTTTTTGGGTGAACTGGACTAGATTAGGTCGACCCCAATCTAAAACCTCAGGAAGTATCAATTTCAGACACAAGTTTGTTTTGACTCTCGATGACGTTTTCCCGAGAAATATGGCCGGTGTAAATGGCATCTCCCGTGCTATCATCTGCATAGCAATGGATGCTACTAGTTTGCAACATGTCATTGATATGCAGAAGAAACAGTGTGGATGACAGCACACAGCCTTGTGGGACACCAGCATTTACGAATTTGCACAGCATGCACAGTTGACAACGATCTTAATGCTTCTGTCTTAAGCGCCTTATGCCAGACCCGATCGAAGGCCTTTGCTATGTCAAACCAACCGCACAAGCCTCTGTGAAACTGCGGGGAACTACTAGTAATTTATAAAGGGAAAAATAATAAATTATATAATATTAAAAGAATCACTTTATTCTGGATACCAACCAGATCTGCAACTTGCATATAAAATTTAGAAAAAAAAACTTCCGCCCATCGTTATTATGCTTATATTCTGTAAGTTGTATCCACACAGGTTACAGGTATCTGTCTTGCTTCTACTGCTTTCATAGCTTGCTGAAATGCCAGTGCACCTAGTGGACCTTCAAATACACTAGGTAAGTTATTGCTATTTATAACACCATGTGCTCTCAGTGTTAAATCTCTCATAAGAGCTCTCTCCTGCTGCAGCACTTCCTCATTCATAACATTAACAGATCTTCTTTTTAGAAATACACCATGCTTTTTTAAACAGTGTCGATTAAAATCATGTTTATAGCTGTATGGCTGGGAACATATTTCACACTTATAAGGGCGTTCTCCAGTATGGACTCGCATGTGATGATTAAGAAAATATTTAGTGTGAAAGGTCATAGGGCATAATTCACACTGTATCGACTTTTTTCCAAAATTGTGAATCAGCATATGGCGACTCAATGTATATTTTCTTTTAAAGCCTTTGTTGCAAATGTCACAAATATGATTTTTTGTCTCATTATGCACTGCCAAATGTGATTGTAATGATGTTTTGGTAGTAAAAGATGCAATGCATTCATTACATTTAAATTCAGCAGTCGATACATGCTTCCTTTTATGATATTTTAGGAAACTCTCTGTTACAAATGCTTTAGAACACTGGTCACATTTAAATGGTCGTTCACCACTATGGCTTAACATATGAATGTTGACATACTTTTCCCTCAATAATTTCCCACAGTAAGGACATACACTTTTTTTCTCTTTACGCTTGTATTTTGTTTTAGGTACATTAATAGTTTTAACATCAGAATGTGTTATCTTTACATCCTTTAAATAGATAGGTTTTAAAGGCTTTTTTATCATGTTTTTAACTAGTCTGTGATCATTGCTGTTGTGTTTTTTTGTCTTTTCTTTCTTTTTCTTTCTAATATTAAATGGTTTGCCATATATGTAATCACTATCATAAACCGGATCGTAATCTGCATGTATTTCATAGTCCTGATCATTATAGTCATCATTAGATTTTATGTTGACAGAATCTAAAAACTCTTTTACAGTTATCAGAGTTTTCTGATCATTGTTAATATCTCCTACTTTCTTTATGGTGGTTTCCTTGTAATTTATATTATTAATTTGATTTTCAAAAAGATGCTCAACAAATCTATAAAAAGCTGGGACAGAAGGTTTGTAATCAATATTTATTTGAATTTTGATATCATTAATATTGTTAAAACTGATTATTTTTGAGTTTCTAATTTCTTTTAAAACTATTTCAGACCTTTCAATTTCTAATTTAAAATCATAAGCTTCTTTAAGTTTTTTGCGACAAGATGTACATATTTGATTAGGGAAATTTTCTTCTCTGAGAATCTTCATAGTGGTAAGTGAAGATATCATATCAATGAACGTGATTCCGTTTTCAGCATCGTATACCGATCGTAATCTTCTATTCGACTTTAAACATATCCGACATTTGCCCATCATTGTAGTTCTTAAAAAACTTTTTCTCCAACCTGTACATAAAAAATTGGTTGGAGATACAAATACAAGAAATTGATTGATACGGCAACTGTCAACCAACTGTTTGACAGTTGCCGTATACATAAAATTTCTACTAAGCTCAAAATAAACTAAGAATCTAAATGTTTAATTTTGGAATTTTATTATTTTTTATTTATTTATTTAATTCTTTTTTCACAAACAACAAATCATTGTACAATGGCGGACTTAATGCCAAAGGCATTTTCTCCCAGTCTACCTTTGGGTGGTGGGGAAATGTCTGAGTAGGTGCATGAAATTAAAATTAGGTTACATACATACTGAGATACACATACATATATGTATGTACTTGCTGAGTTACATACATACATATAGCACATACGTATATATACATATAACATATAAGACTTTAGGGATGTGATGAGTCTGCTAGAGTGTCGAGAATTCGAGCTCGGACTTTCGTCTTAAATGAGAGACGACTGGGTGCTATCCTGATTTCCAAAGGCAGAGCGTTCCAGAGGAGGACAGATTGGATTAAGAAGGAAGAGTGGACACATGCGGAAGTATGAGTGGGGCATAACAGAAGTGGATTGTTTAATGAACGGGAGTTCTGTTGTGATTGGCACATAGAAAATGAAATGAGGATGTTAGGTAGGAAGGGGAAATAGGTGAGTTGAGTATGGTGAGGGCGTGCAGCTGATGGCGCTGACCAATCGTGAGCCAGTTCAATTCACGACGAGAGGAAGAAACATGGTCGTATTTGCGAAGGTTAAAGACGAATCGAATGCAGTTATTCAGAAGGCGGTCGTATTTATTGAGGAGATCTGCATTCAGGTCATAATAGCATACATCCACATAATCCAAGATAGGGACAATAAGAGTCTGTACTAGCATCGCTTTTGTCTCGGAAAGAAGGAAGTTTTTAAGCCGATAGAAGGCTCGTAGCGTACCTGTGACTCTCTGGCTAACGCTGGTGACCTGGGTTTGCCAGCTGAGCTTGGAGTCGATAAATAGGCCTAGGGACTGAAGGGAATGACTGTGCCGTTATAAGTAATGGGTGGCAGTTTGTTTTAATCCATTCTTCCAGTCATGCGCGGACTGCCTATGATGATGGTTTGGCATTTCGCTGGATTCACTGCCAAACCAAACCCATCAGCCCAACTGCCAATAGCCTCCAGGTCATTGTTAACCATAGAAATGGCCCCATTTATATCGTCTGTCGAGGCTTGATAATAGAGTTGCAAGTCATCGGCATAAAGATGGTACGCAGATTGAAGATTCGGGGTGATGAGATTGATAAATATTGAGAATAATAGAGGAGAGAGGATGCCACCTTGAGGGACACCACAGTCAAGCTCACGCCAACTTGAAGAGACTTCATCGACGCGGACAGGCTGCTGGCGACCCTGAAGATATGAGGAAAACCATTCCAGAGTATCAGGCGCAATCATAAGAAAGGAAAGGATAGATAGAAGGATATCGTGACTGACGGTGTTGAATGCATTTGAGAAATCGACCAAAGCCAAGACAGTAACTTTGGATTTCTCAATTCCTGGTCGGATGTCGCCGGTCACTTTTAGCAGTGCGGAAGTAGTGCTATGCCCGGGCCTGAACCCTGACAACTTACTAAGCCCCTTCCGGCTTAGTAAGTTGTTGCGGTAAATATGTTGGGACAGTTGTTGGTTCACACAGGCCTCGAGGACTTTGGACAGGAAGGGAAGAATGGAGATTGGTCGTAGGTGATTCAGGAGTGTTGGATTCGGGATCTTGGGAAGGGGTATGACAAACGCCTTACGCCACGATGTGGGATAAGTTCCTGAGTCAAAAGAAAAATTAGTTATATGCGTAAGCACGGGAAGAAGGTGAAGGTCAAAGAGTATCTCGTCTCTATCAGTATAGGAATTACGATGTAACATTAAATACAAATATATAAAATACGCCTACGCCCTACATCATGGTGAGTCGTAATAAATGATATTTTTTAATAACTTAATTTTCCACCCTTAGGCATGGTAATATCTTATTTCTTATTTAAATGGAACCAAATGTAAAGTGTTCCCCTTCAAATATTTTTTTTCATAAGGAATGAATCTCGGAGATAATAAACATAAAAAATAAACCGAACTTCCTCCTTTTTTAGGTCGACATAATTACAATTCCATATTAGTAATTTTCTTACCATACTGTATAATGTGAATAAAATAAAAAAATCGAGAAAGTACGAGAAACCTAATTACTAGAAGTTTTCTAAAGGATACAAACGCTTATGGGTATATTCGCGAAATGTTGCACACGGTTAAACATGGTTGTCCGCTAACTTCAACAAAGCATTACTCACTATTTCTTTCACTTTTAAAACAGTTGTTTTGTTCTGCCATTAGTAAATATATTTTTGTCATAAAATGGAACATAAAATCCACATTCAATTAACTTTTTTAAACAAAACTTTGATTTTAATATTACAAACCATGTAAGCCTGCCCTGTCCTGTCCTGTAATGTCCTGTGCTGTCTCAAGCAATTTTTAATCCTTAAATCTTATGTATCATAAATATAATATAATCATAAATATTTGATAAAAGTAAAGGGTTATGCAGATCTGTCTTAATATGTCAATATTTAGTTTTATTTAGCATATTTTCTAACAAAAATACGAAAATATCATTGATTAAAACCTGTCCACGAAATTGGGATCTGGTAGAAAATCCTGCATAGTGACGATATCACCCACCGGTGGGGTGATTATGTCGGACTCGAATCGACCAAAAACCGCACGCCGTCTCGGGTACCAGTTGCCGGAGAACCAGGTGTACCCTAGTAAGGAAATCCCTGATACCCCGACGTATCTCGGGCCATCAACGGTGTGTATATGACCCCCTCCTGTGTGGGAACCCCCATGTTCGCTTTGTGCTCCAAAAGGGCGCGCGCACTCGACAGCGCGACTCGCCGCCACTCCGGCCTTCTTCTGCTAGGGTGACAGATGGCCCCACTTGTCACCCTTCTGCGACCTCCGGCGCCCGAGTCGTCTGCGGTACCTGGTCCGTTCCTGGACCTGACGGGCCTTGAGAATACAAAATCTCTCCCGGTCCCGCTCCGCCATCTCCTTCGCAAGCATAACTCGCTCGCAGAAGGAGAAGGCGGAGTTCCAAGCACTCTCGCTCCGTACTATGGCGACAATCATACTACTGAGCGAGAGGACTCCCACCCCGATGGCCACCACGAGGTAACGCCTCTGCTCAACCCACGCCAGCCATTCTGGCAACGTGTGGAAGGCCGTGTCCACGGTCCGGCCATCGCAGTGGTGACACTCAGGCGTTGTCTCCTTGCGGATCACACGAAGGTGATCTCCAAAACAGCGGTGATTTTACGGTGATCACCTGCGTCAGCCGGTATGAGAGGGTTCCGTGACACCTCTCGAGCTAATTCTCCATAACGGGTCTTACTGCCGCAATAGCGGCGGCGTTCGGTAGCCCAAGTCGTTCCTTCCACTTCTCTACGAGGACCTGGCGGAGCTGGGATGTCTGATCCTCGATTTCTCGAGTCTCAGGACTCAGACCCAACTCCCGCGCCAAGTTGTGTTGAAGTTATAGGATCTTTTATAATAGAAAATACACATGGAACTTTTCAACATGGTAGCAGAGCGTGGTTCCGGGAAATAAAATTCAGATAGAAATTACGTGTTGATAGTTCGAGAGCTCAAGATGCAAAATTCAATCGTTGATGCAGCGAAGATTCACGTAGGAGTACTTGATGAATCGAACTGGGCAACATAAAAATAATGATTGCGCTGCGAGGTTTGAAGATCCAAGATGTAGTTGAGGGCAAGCTAGTGCCGTCCGAGAAACTAAAAGTGGATGCAACAGCTGCAGATGTAAAAAAGTATGAAGAACAAGAGCAAAAGTATGTGTCAGCGGATAGCGCAGCCTTGCTACTCATCTCAACGAATTTGTCACGAGAAAACTGCGAAAAAGTCATGAGGTATTCTACTGCAAGAGATGTATGGCTGGAATTACATCGCCTGTATGATGGTATATCAGAAAGCAAAGCCTACGACATATGCATGAAGTTCTTTAGTTATAAGATGCAATCTGGTGGTGACGTGTCAGCACATGTCAGCAAATTGAAAAATATCTGGTCAGAACTTACCAGGGAACTCCAGAAGGAACACCTGAAAGAAGAGCTGCCAGAACTATTCCTAATTTGTAAGATACTGGATACTTTACCTGAAGAGTACTTCTCGTTTAAGTCAAGCTGGATGATGATGTCAAAAGAAGACAGGACTGTAGAAAATCTAACAACTCAGTTAAGTAACCACGAAAGAACTTTATCGAGTAAGTATGAAGAGAAGATAGAAGCACTAGTAGTGAGAGACAGCAAAGTTACGACAAATAAGAAGAGTAAAGTGAGTAAGAATTATGAGAAGAGTAAGGTGGAAGCGAGCACAGACAAATGTCACTATTGTGGCATGGTCGGTCACAGAATAAGAGGATGCTCTAAATGGATATCCGATGGACGACCACCTAAGCCAAAACCATTAACATCTAAGTCAAAAGGACCTACTATGAGTGTGAATATGCATATTATGGCAGTGAATCCAAATGATTCTGCTGATAAAGATCACTGGTATATGGACAACGGAGCTACAAGCCACGTCACGAACAGGGAAGATCTATTCCAGACATTTGAGAGGTTTCACACTTCACACACCGTTACGACAGCTAATGGAGATACAATCAAGGCAGTTGGGAAAGGAATTGTATACATAGAAGCTGATGTAAAGGGTCATAATGAACAGATAGCACTTTATGATGTATGGTATGTGCCTACAATACAGAAAAACCTATTTTCAGTACTGTCAGCTCAAGATAAGATGTCAATCAGCCTTTTCATGTCTACAACCGAAGAATGCAAACTGTTACAGCATGGAAAAGTGTTACTCATTGGAGAAAGAGAAAAAGATGGAGGTCTTTTTAAGCTGAAAGTCAGA